CCTTCATTTGCATATTCACTCCCCTGCACCCTGAGCAAAGCCATCGCAGATTCGTTCGACGAAGTTATTGCAGCCTCTGGCAGGCGTAGCCGAAATATCCTGCCTTATGTAGTTCTAGTGTCGACAAGGTATGGAGCAACCGAAACGGTTGACTTTGCTTTGTTTTCTTTCATAAAACAACCAGCAATGCACCACTAACCTACACCGCCCTATAATAGGCCCCTGCATCATTTTTCGGTTTTATAGCTCTGACCATGTCGAGCAAACCATAATCAAAGCAACATTATGCGTTTCATCAAACAACAATGTTCGCATCGTCCGTCGGATTGTTTGTACTTGTTCATAAGAATTCTTCCTCATAAAAAATGATTGCCTGTACTTGCCTTGAACTTTGACCAAACAAACGAGCCAAAGCAGTTTATACGTTTTTTTCATTACCTTCTCAAACTTTCATATCCTGATGAAACAGCCTCTTGATATGACTTTCATCGAACGAACACATCCGGGCATAACCCTTTTCGTGAAGCCCATGGATGCGTTCGTTCATGATGAAAGAGTCATATTATATGAGGCTCTCGTTCATCACGAGAGTTATGAGAAATTTGCGTTGTAAAGGTAATAAGTAAAAACGTATAAACATGTTTAGTGTTTGTTTAAGTTAAAGTTCAAAAAGGCAGAAATTTTTGAACCTTGAAGTATCCTTGACGTTCTATTTTTTATGAGAAGAATTTTGTAAAAAAGACAAATTTTGGAAACCAAACAATCCTGTTTTCGGTTGATGCCTGCCGATACCCCGAGATGGTTGAGCACTAGAGCGTCGCATTTAACTAAGGGAACCACATAATCCTTGTTTGTTTTCCATGAAACATATGGATGGTTTGTTCTGATACATGAGAAACAGTAAATGGGAGAGTTAAATCAGAAAGATATAAACCGATAAAATTGATATAAAACTTGTTTAAGGTTGTCTTTATTTATAAGTGTCAGACAGGGTCATAAGAATTTAATTGAAACATTGCTTGGTTTGTTTTATGAGAAGAAAACAAAAGATAAAATTCGAAAGCAAAACCCCGTTTTCGGTCCATGCTTCCCGATACCTTCTAAGCGCACGGCACTAGAACGCCGCATGTTAACGTTTCGGGGATATTTCGGCCCCACACGCTATCCTAATGCCAATAGCAAGCTTCCGCCCATCAGACCCTGAGATCACCTGCGATAGGCTTTGCTCAGCGTACGCAGGGAGAGTGCGGTCGCCACCGAAGTGAGGGCCCCTAATCCACTGCATACTATATCGCACCCAGCTTCCACTGCTAGTTGAAATCTACTATATGAAGTTTTAGCTTTATATATATATACCAAAATTTAAAGGCGTACGAAAGTTGTGGGATGATTGTTATCGTTACTGCGCATGCGCAGATGATTTGTCTTAAAACGTGTGACTGAGCGAGCTAATTACTCCATAATCGGTACTAGTACATCCAGCTGGTCGTTACCATGAGTTTGGAGAGTTTGTGGAGTTGACAACGCATGCTCAGATTCTCAATTAATTTGTGACATAGCGAGCTCTGAAATTTTTTCTTGTAGATGCAAGCAAGCTGAAGCAAGTTGAGCAAGTTTTCCATCATATATTTTTGGCATGCTCTTTGTCTAGTTAAGCTTATTTTGACAAATGCATGTGAAACTCGTCAACACTTTGTTACGGCACTCGTAATATCCGTGACAACGTTAAAAATGTTTTTTATTTTTCTCTACAACTTTATACATGCATATTGCATGTCATATCCAAGCTTTCCTTTAATTTGACGGGAAATGGTTTTTATTCACTCTTACATCTTCTGCCTTTATAATTAGTCGATATGTATTTCTAAACTAATATTTACAAATGCCGCAAGAGAATCTTTTTCTTTTATTTGCTCTCTTCTACAAATACAATACCATGTCCGACTATTTGATTGCACGAATTTTGTAATTTGATCACGTTTTTTTGACACGTGTGTTTACCATGGGAAAGATGGATTGCTTAAATGTACCTAGTTGTTTAGACTAGTTGGAGCCATAGTTATTCTATAATATATACTCTTGTGAAACACCAGTGAGCATACGTAGTGTGTCTTCTATAACCTCTATTCCTGTTCTCCACTTCATCATCTATCCATATTTGTTCTTTTTTAGTTCTCAGCTCAACACAACCTTGTCTGAAGTTCTTAAAACCTTGATCTACCCAAGAAAGATCTCTCGTGATAACATGTTAGGTATGGCCAGTGGTTGGTCATCGTCATTGAGCCTTTTGACACCAGTTGAGTATACATTAAATGTCCTGAAGACGTTGAGGAGGTTGCTAGCAAAGCGTCGCCTAAACCAGAAGTTATTTTTCATGGTATGCTAACGGATTACGCAAACGTTGTTAGGAAGAAGCTCACATCAAATGGTTATGGTCTCGTTCCATCGTCGTCTGAGGATGTTTCATGTTTATCCTGTATCTTTCACCAATGTTACAAATACTTAGTTTTTTTATGTTTTTTGAAATTGTCGTTTTTATGACTATTATTTTAGAGCATAGACATTGAAGAATGTTGTGGTAGTACAGGTATTTTCAACATTTTTTTGTTGAAAAATTCTCTAGTTTCAATTCTTCGAAATTTCTCATCTTAATTTTCATCTTTACTTTAGAATCCTTTCGATACGAGAAATCGTCGGGATTTGAGGTACTTTATACGATATACTGAATTTAAATTTTATAGCGTAAATAACTCTCATCTGTCCATTGTAACTTTGCTATAATTCTATGCATAAATTATGTTTTTATATATAACAGATTATTGATTATCCTACTTCACCTGAAGGTGTTCAGCAAGAACGACGTATGAAGTTACTGTCGTTAATTAACAATATAGCCCTTGATAAAGGGTTGGATGGTCAAAATTATAAATGTCATGGTTCTTCCAGACCAATTGGAATGAGTATGATCGTCTCAGGACCTGAAAAAATCAGGTGACTCAACGGGATTCGAACCCATGACCTCTGCGGTGCCGGTGCAGTGCTCTGACCAACTGAGCTATGAAGTGAGCTACTTCAATAATGTTCAATAATACGACATTCCTTTCAAGAGAAAACATGAGCCCAACAATATTGACCTGCTCACCACTGTGAGACTTCATAGGTCAGTTGGTCAGAGCACTGCACCGGCACCGCAGAGGTCATGAGTTCGAATCCCGTTGAGTCACGTGATTTTTTCAGGTCCTGAGACGATTGCTTAAATTGTCCAGCAAAGTGCGAAGATCATATCTTCATTTAAGTACTCTAATTTCCTTGCCCAATACATTCCAACACCATCAAACCAGTTGCCTGTAAGCCACATGTCTTTGTCTTTTGTGTTCAGGTCCTTCTTCAGCTCTTGAACCATAGTGCTGTTTGCACTCACTCCATGCCAGTCGTAATACCCAATAATTTAAACAAAAATTTCGAAAAACAGGATTATCTGTAATACAGTCGGGAGTATCTATTCCCTCAAATTGTGCTGAGTCTTCGTTCATTGCTACAACAGCTGAACTTCGTCGGAGTCGTCCATAGGCTCGTCGCTAGAGTCTGTTTCAATCGGCTCATAAGCATATGGTTGAATCATGTTTTGATCGTTAATCATTTCTTCGTAGTTTGAAACACTGCTTCCAGAATAATTACTAGAGGAATCGTTTGAGTAATCCGTATCCATTGCGCAAAATAATTTAAAAACTTAGGAAATAAAATGCAAAGATGAATATGCCTATGCGTAATTTCTACTTTTGCTAGTATATTTTGTCTAATGTTGACAACGATCACCGCGCAGTGACGTCACGACGAAAAACCACTGCTGGACTGCGGCTTCGCTTGCATGTAAACAATGGCGATCGAACAAGAGGCAAAAATACACACATTTAAGGCATTATTTCTCGAGTTAAACTTGAATTGGAAACCTAGGATTTCGTGAGAGAGGTAAGAACAATATACACTTTCATATGAGCGAAAGTTGTGTTAAAGTCTGACTACCCCTTTAAAAATTGTCGAATAAAGTGCGAAGATCATATCTTCATCTAATTTCAAACACCGCACTGCATAAAACATTCATAAAAAATATTTTCATTGAAAAAGGAAAAAATATATAAAAGTGCATGGAGTTAACAAAAGAAAATGTACCTGGGTAAGGTCTCATCATATTAACATGAAGAGGAAAAGCAGCATCGCCAAAAAATACATAAGGTAATGTAAGTTTACTACCAGGTGCATCCTCTGGCAAGGGCAAACCAAGTTGTCCATTTAATAGCTGCTCCCCAAATTTGCTTTCTTGGAAAACCCCCCATCACTTTGCCTTCCATATGCACCTACATCTACCATTAGAAAGCGATAGCAAGCATCACATACAGCCATTAGTACAACAGAATGAGTTCCTTTATAATTAAAGAAATCACTTCCAGAAAGAGGAGGTGCTCTACTCCCCCCCCTGAAAATGAGTTTTATCATAGTTTCATATTTTCATGAATTGTAATTCATGCATTTGAAGACATTTTCCGTATCAAAAAGAACTTTTACAAAAATAAGGATTCTACCCCCTTGAAAATGATTTTATCATAGTTCCAAATTTTCATCAAAAGGCTATAATTAATGCATTTGAACACATTTTCCAATGAAAACCATAGAACACCATTAAAAAAGAAATTAACAACAGAATGAAATACATGGCTGCGTTGCCGACGAAGGTAGCACAAATCTGGACTTTACAGTTATTGCTTGGTTGCATTTAACCATAGAATGCTTCTCTCCATTGCAGTCGCTTTCATTGTCCAAGAAATTATGTCGCTCAGCTGAGCTGGAGAAACTTCATGATGTGAATAATAAAGAATGCAAACTGCTTGCTCAAAGATGGCTTTCGGAGGAATGCGCGCAAGCAGTGATGACTTTTTTACAACGCATATCAAAAATATATTTGAAACATAAAGTTAATTCCTGTTTATGAAATCTTCGATGTATTTTCTTTCTGTGTATTTTATTCAGTTTGATAAAAACCATTTACACCAAAGTGTTAAGCGTACAAAAGCACTTGGGAAAATATCTACTTGATGTCACGTGACAATACGTTAATTAATTACACTTATTTTTAAACAACTGCATCATTTTTCAACAAATGCGCAAGAAAATAAGGTTATTGCGACTAAGAAGTCCGTTACGCCAGCAGTAAACACTGAAGTCTCAATGACTTCGACGATACAGAACGAGTGTTCGAAATTTTCCAGCTAAATTTTTTTTTCTATGTTTTGGAACTTGATTTAAAACGCAATTTTTTCCTCCAAAGTAAAGATTTTAAAAATCGTGGTTAAATGAACGAATATGTTTTGTTATTCAACTCAAGTTACGAATGATTTACACAAACAACGCTACAAATTCCGCTGCGTAAAGGTTACAAACGGATCATTAGGAATACAATTTCCGCTGCGTAACGGTTACAAACGGATCATTGGGACACACTATCCTATTTGTACAATAAATATTAGCACGAGCCATAAGTCTGATCGCAAGTATACCTGGATGGTAAGTCATTCCTGTAAGCTCGTCCACCATCAACTTACGATGCAATCCACAATATCATCGTTGCTGATGTACTTTTGAAACAAATCGCATTCCTCGTGATTTTTAAACTCAAGTTCTTCATATTACTGCTGACCATCAACGTCTTTGTGTCTCGCAGGCACTACAATATTAAATATGCTGCTTTACTATTTGTTGACATGGATTTGCTAAAAGTTCGAAACTGTAAATATTTTCATAATCTGCGACGCGAACGTCCATGAACAACAATAGAAATTTATTGCATTTTCAAAGGTCCCGTGTCCAGTCCCTCTCCCTCCAGTTGCTAAGCTCCGCTCATCCCCACTCCTTCCTCTTACCAATAGTGCCCAATCTCTCTCCCTCGTAAAAATAGACACACAAACCTGTCTAGAAACTAGTGAAAATCTCAGCATACGTTAATTGAGTTCCTCCTCCAAATGTTTGAAAGATAAAATTTCTGCGACAATTCCGCGTTCCTTTGCCATGTAGCAGTCGAGTTTCGTGCTGCATAGAATAACAGACAAGGCCTGATTTAAAGGAAATTCACCTTAAGACAAAATGAAAATTTTTTATAGCATCTCGGTTTTTTCATAAAAAAAATAATGTTTCACGATACACTTTTTTTGAGGAGGGGAGAGGGAGTGAAGCATTTTGGGGAACTTAGATAAAGCTATTCGTAGTTTTAATTACTTTTCAATCTCACATTTAATTTTTAACACCTCAGAACATAACACATCCTCTCAGGTTCAAGAAAAGAAAACATTTTAATTTTTATATAAAGTGATCAATAGGCGTGGATACAACTCAAATACATAACATGGCAAAATATGACCTAGTGCCCAGGCCTCCGTTTAATATAAACAAATCACTTGTACCTGTGAACGACCATATAAATGAGGTAAAGTTAGAGAGCAACATCCAACTGGAGGATGACCCCACTCCACAAACTTCGTTTGAAAAGTTGCCTTTAAAAAAACACGACGAATATGTCAACTGAAATAAAAATTACGTAATGTAGTACTGAGGAATCACTAGAGGGGTGAACAAAGTACTCTATTATATTAAGGGGTGCGGGTAAAGAGGGAAGTATGGAGGTAAAGGAAACTTCGTAGGTCGTATTTATTGCAGGTCTACACAACAATCTGAATAATCTGCACCTCTATGCAATTAACGGCATAAATGTGCCATTCAATAAACAAACCAAAAATCAGTACCATCAATAAAAAACCATTGAGATTTTCACAAGAACAATAGAGATAAATCAAGAGGCCTATAATCATTTATCACAAAACCTTTTCTATTGATGATGTCGGCTATAACCAAACTTTTTCTATCTTCTTTTGTAGCTACTTCATTCCTTTATATACGCAACTTCCAGCAAAGGGAAAGGGACCACTTCAATACCCCAGTTATATCATCACATAAAGAATGTTTAGTGCAGAGTAGATCTTCTGTGAGTATCAGTTGACCACCTTCAGGTGGGCTCATATAATAATAGGGCCCATCATCATTATATGAACAAACAACTGACATCCACAAAGAATCCAAACTACAAATAAACATTCTTGGCCATGAATCACCATGATACATGAGCAATGAAAAACTAGTAAGAGTAATTGAAGTGAATGACAGAGGTGGTAAAGGGACTTTCACAACTCCATCCATGTGGGATCTACAATGTGAGAAAATATGAAATAATGATATGCAAAGTTACAATGCATCAGCAAATTTAATTTGTCATGAAATCTCATGCATTTCTTTCATATTATATTACATTGACTCCCAAAGACTATAGTTCCTGCACTTAACACCATAAGACTAGAGTTCATGAACATAACTCCGGACTGTTATAGTCTATGCCCCTTAATCACAAATATTATAATGAATCCACCTAACTCACTAACACTATACTTCCTGCATCTAAGTCATAAACACTATAATTCACACAATTAGCCGGCAAACACTATATTTCATGCACCTCACACTCAAAAACTATAGTTTATGCACACAACTCCAAAGATTACATTTCACACACCTAAGTACCAATAATTAAATACAATAGATTTTTAAGAGATGACTTTTATCACAATATCTCTTTAGACGTATTTCTGACGCTAGCAAACGTGAAAATCAAGTTGTTAGTGATTATATCTGCTAAATATGATTGAAGAAAAACATCGAGCCAAGAATAATCTAAAGATATAGAAACATAACATAAACTTACCACATCGCTTTCAATTTCATTGATAATGGCTTCTTCACCAAATTTCAACGAACGAATTTTGACCTTGCCTAAATGTAAAAGGAGTAATGTTGCAAAGGAAGCAAAGCGAGAAATGTCCGACGTCAATACATCTCACATTCAAAATATACTTTTCACGTTTTTCAGCCAAAGCCGCGTGTCGCTTTTCACGACACACTTTACGAGAACGGAATCGTAACCTTCAATGCAACAAGCCACTAGCCAGCATATAATTACTAGAGAAAGCATGGTTTTTACATATGTAAAAAATTGACGCTCAATATTCAAAAGCATATTGAAAGGAAAACCGAATAATAAATTATTATGGGAAAACTGAAAATGTTACCGATACATAGGCATTTTTGAAAATCATTGTCCGTTGCCTGGCCGTTATTTTGAGCCCTGCTCTTCTTGCTTAGTTATCTCAATTTTTGACAATCACATTCCAAATTTACTTTACACGTTTTTCTGCCAAAGCTGCGAGTCGCTCTTTCTTGTCTTCATCTCATCAAGCAAACATTAATTATAATTTTGAAAACAGCAATTCTTGGTTTTCATGTGTGTCTTAAGGGAATAACAAACAAAGAAAGGGCATCCACCATGTCGCCTAACAGCAAAGGGAATCCAATGATATTATTTTGTAAGAAGTCCATCAGCATGATGCATATGAAAACCACAAATACTTTCCATAAACTAAAAAATTCACAGTTTGAAAACGGATCGCTTTCTTCTATGCCAATTGCATGTTAAAAGTTCATTGCCAATGGCTGCTTCCTCAAACTAAATATAAAAAGTGTTATGTTCAAAGGAAGCAAAATGAGACACGTGGGAAGTCATTATCTCACAGTCCAAATTTACTTTAATTTACATCGATATGATGCAAACTGTAGAGACAACGACACTTATCACTTTATTATAAAACACGTGTTATATAGACAAAAGAAACAGCCACCATGGGGTTGCTGCAAAACTGCAATGTCAATTTAAATTTTATTGCAAAACCAATCAAATTCATTCATACACATTACACTAGTTTAAATTCATAAAAAAAATTTAAAATTTTCGATTCTTGCCACGCCTTAACAGCTTTCTCTAATCTCCCAAGTTGACTTTTTATAAAGCATTGATATGTGGTTAATCTCTTTTACCGCGAATTTTGTTGTAGATGGACAACTTTTCGGATTAGACAGAATATTTCACAATAAAAAAACCGTCTGTGAAAAACTATACTTTTAAAATTATAGCTGTTCATTCCTTTTTATGCAAGAGAAATTGCAAGTTATTAGTAGCCTTACAGATCTTTCTCAATCAGTAAACCATAAATTTTCTTTTACTGCTCAACATTCTATTAAAAAAAAGGTAAAAGTTGTGCGAACAGGAAGCGGTTTTAGTTTATGTTCTTAAGCCATGAAAACCGCATGAAATCTTTGTGACTATCTATAACCATCTTCACACGTTTCTCAAGATCACATTCAGTTTCAGTTCCAAAATTTATATTTTTCTCGTTATTATAAAGCATCTTGTAAGTTGCGCTATTCATAACAGCTTAGCTTTCCGCTAATAAATAAGTGATAATGAGCAAAGTACATACAACATGTGGCTTTCAGCTTCGTAAACATTATTCTTCGTTTGTGGCGTTGACAAAACTACAACGAGAATTTCTTCTTTTAAAGTACATATTATTACTCCATAAATCTATTTATTGAGGCTTAAATAATCGCAATGATTGTACTATCTTGAAGCAATTGAATGAAAATTGATGAGAGACTTGCGGCTTCTTGCGAGATGCGGCCCCTTGTTGCAGAGTATTTGTCCTTTGTTGAATCTTTCAAAAGGTTTTGAATAAACGGAACTTTTAATGAACTGAACCAGCAGCTGGTGGAAATGTCGAAGAAAATCTTGATAAACCTTTGAATAAATGGCTGGTCATGGTTAGAAGAGGTAGTCTATTGAATGGGTATGACTGGTAATTGTTAGAGAAAAACCATTGAATAAATGGCTGGTTATGGTTAGAAGAGGTGGTCTATTGTTCGAGCATGATTTTCTAGTTGTTAACAACAAACCTTTGGGGTCAAAGCATTGTATTTATCAGGCCTGTTCATTGTGATTGTCCTCAAACCGCCATCAGTAGAGACAAGAATATTTTCAAACTCATTTGATGTATTAATGTCTTTGTTGGGTTGGCTGTTGGTCTTGGATTCTTGTCCTGAAGTTACATTTAAGAAATATTGAATAAATTTGCAATAACTGTTTTGGACTAAACAGCCCAAAAGTGTAAGAGATTTAGTTCAAAGTGGTTTCATCTCCTTAATGAATGACTAAGGTGTTTCATTTGCATGTCAAACCTTTTTAACAATATTTAACTTTAATAACTGTAGACATATAAAGGGAATATGGTGATCGAGTAAGAGAGATTGAATATGCTGCTTTTACAGCACTGGTTTTTTCAACATCAAGTGGTATGGGGAAAGAGATGGCAATTGCTTATAAGCGGCTAGCTGATCTGCTGGCACAAAAGAGAAAGCTGCAATATGGCATCAGGCTAGCGTGGATGCGTTGTAAACTGTCTTTCGCACTGATTAGGTCAGCAATTACTGCGATACGAGGAAGTCGATCTGAATCAACTCGCAAACATACTTTAAATATTGACCTAGGTTATTGGGAAAGTTGTCTTTACACTTGACTGTCCCTTTATCATGGATATTTTAAACATTGATGTTAGTTATCTTTGATTTAGTTTTTAACATTTATATTTGTATGTTGTAGTTTATAATTTTAATTAAATTTTAATTTTTTCTTTTTTTTAATCAAAATCGTGATTAAAGTTAACTAAGACAGGTTTAAAAAAAACAAAAAAAACTGTAGACATATAACAAACTTACTCCTGTAATGTTAAAAACATTGTTAGTCAAAAAATCTGTTCTATAGTTCAATGTTGAGAAGGACATGTACACAACAGGGAAATGATGTTTATACAGAATATTTTGCAGAAAAGCTTTGTGTTTATAATACACAGCAAAATTCAAAATCACCTAGTAAAGATTCCACAAGTGCTATATACTGTTTTTGTGCATCTACCTAAAAGAAAAGTTCAATTTAAAAGTATTCATTACATGCAATCACTGGTACATTTGCATTTTTTTCCGGCATCACCAATACTAAGAATGTTAAGTACAAGATTTTACTCTCCTAAATGTTAACGAATTCTTCGTAAATACAAATAGGGGATATAATTCAGATTGCATGGCTTGGAGAGAAACTATGTATATTAAAACCATTGAAAAGCACAGATTTACATGCAGATATTTTAGCTGTATGTTCCGGTAGGTACTCATAATTTCCAGAAGACCCACACACTCAGTTCTTAATTAACGGTGTGCTGTCAACTTTGCACAAAACAACTTTTTTACTGTAAATAATTTGATGACGATAGATTTTAGTAAGACTTGTGAGAGTGTTCAATAAAATTGTTGAAAGATACAGTCCTTTGGTGATGTTTGAAACTAGATACATATTGAATGTTCATTATAAGATAAGTGCAGCCTTTCTTAAACTAAATATTCACCTGTGATAAATCACCCAAATCGTTCCATGCATTCCATTTTGCCTTTCCAACAAAGTCCAAAGTCCCAGGCTTTGGTGTATTACATTTGCCTAAAGAACCCTGGAAATGTATATTGTTATTTGGGTTCGTCTTATTTTTAACTTTGATTGTATTGTATGGTGGGACTGTGAACAGTTATAATTGAAAAAAATTCACTGTGCCTTTGCAAAAATGTGATTCAAATGCAATGATGCACATTGTGCTTAAAAATTTAAAGTCACCATTTAATTGAAGAGCTTGTAGTTAGGAGATACAACAACTAATATTCAAGCTTTATGTAAAACCGGATACAATATCTTTATGAATCGTAAAATACCTGCTTAAAAAGGGCGTACATCTTTAACTTCAATTCATTCCCTGGATCTTGAGTTAAAGATCCTACTTCGTCTTTTGCTTCTTTAAACTGGTGAGAGATTGCAGAGAACTTCGAACCATCTTCGTAAAAATGTTCAGGTTTAAATAAGGTCGAGATAGATAGTTCACTATACCACGACGAAAAATTGCATATGCTTTACAATCTCTTGGCGTCACGTTCATTTGCTATAATAAAATTTACAATTAATATTTTTTTATTATTGATTGAACATTGGACGAATAAGAAAACTGATATCTAGAAATGACATGAATGAAAGGCAAAAGTAAATCAAACATGTGACTATTTTTGACCAATGACATTAGGATGTTGATAGTGGTTACAATGGATGATAGTGAATAATTATGGACATGCTTTCAAAAAGGCGTATTCTGAACAAGTGGTATGTTAACTATATCGTGTATATTATCCGACTGGTGCAGCTTAAGAAGAAATTTCAGGGCTTCCATTTACTACATTTTTCAAAGTTCATGTATGAGGACAATATTTCTTCGCGTATTCATATTTTTTAGGAGTTTGCAACATCAAACGTTCGAAGCAAGGCAATCGATCAACAGGGCTCAGTCACTCAGTGCTATGCTTAGTACTTTTTTAAATATCTATCGGGAAGTCTGGCTGGGAGAATGGTACTTAATTATTACTAATTCTAGGCTAACTTTGTCAATCCAAGAACACGTGCAGTACTGGTTTTTATAAATCGGGGTATTAATTTTTGGGTACACTTGCAAAATTTATCAATTCAGGAAGAAATTCAGACGCTCAAATGACTTCTTTTACAATAACGTGGAGAGGAAAGGAACACACAAAAAGATGATGCGGTAGGAATTTTTAAAGTGTTCTTTTTATTGTTTCTGGTTGCACAATTTCATATTAATTTATTTTTATTACCACAGTTATATTGACAAAAGTATGTGTACAAATTTATTTATGCCCACAATGTGGTGTAAGGAAAAACACTTATTCGGAGCACATTTTCCAATTTCAAGTCTGGATTCTCTACATCCTTTAATCACAATGTCATATATGTTAATAGAATAGCAGTGTGTCATATGAATCTCAATTTTTTGAACAAGAAAATGAATTTGGGATTTGGTAAGTTTACATATATTGTAAAACTATGTAGATATAAAAATACGCTATGTTTATGGGTTTTTTCATTTATATGTAGAATGAACAAAGTGAAGATATTGCTGAAAATTATGACAAGCACCAAGAGTTAACCACCAAAACACAGGTTTTAATGTACATATTGATATTGTTTCTCATGAAAAGTCATTGGAAGTGGTTATATGTAGGACTGCTTTCACTAGAAATAACTAAAAATTTGAAGTAATTTAAAGAAGGCATGCATTATTTAAACACTTATTAAAAGTCTGTACACATTTTAAATTAAATAATGGTCTTTATTTGTAGGACTCTGAAGATATCTTTACCAAGCAATCTATCTCTATTATTACAGAGGAACCCAAACAACCATGTCAACATAGTCAAGTAGTTCTCACATATACAGTTATACTTTATACTGTTTACCACTAGTCATGTTTTTAATGTGTTATAAATTGACAATATGCTTGTTGATTGCTTATGCATGAAACACTGTGTAGCAAAACTTTATTAACATCTGGTAGAAATGTGCTCAACAAACATAAAAATATATTACAATAGATATTTTGAAACAGTGAACATTAATAATTACTGTGTACTTGCTCTTTCAGAGTCATTTGTCACCCACTGGCCACTATACTGGGCTATTGTTACAGTTTGACTTTGCATCAAATGTATCACGTCAGCAATCCTTTGTTGTTCATGATTATAATGCAAACAAAAGAACAATTATGGTGATTTCAAATTTTATTTCCATAATTTCAATGTTGGGTATATACCCACTAAATGATATTACTCAATACACCTTTTTTGGTGCTATAATCTGAATGTATTTTTTTTTCAGCATAATTCATTTGTATTTGTACATCGATATCCCCACCTATTGCTTGATGGCTATGGTTGGATATTGTGCTGCTCATGTGATGCAAATAGAAAGCAATTTGTTGAAGCCCTACCTAATAATATACAATTAGATCCTCAAAAAGGTATGTAAAATAGATGTTACTGAAATGAAATGATTAAAACAGGCCAAACAACATTTTTGTACTTGTCAGATATACCATATCCTAGTTGCATACACATATTAGCAATGGAAAAAATATCTGGTTGTGTATGATAGAAAGTTTGGTTTTGAAGCCAAAGATTATATTGAAAAAAGTAAGTGTTGTGTGTTACTCTTTCAGGATATAAGGTGTCTGAACAGCTTCACCAAATTTTGACTTACACTTACATACTATTTGTTTCAAGACCCTTGTCAAAGATGTGAGAACTTGTTACATATTAATCTGACATTGCATGTAGTGAATGTCTCAAATTTGTATTTGGCTTATTTTTTCAATGTAAAGTTCTTCATGTGGTATGGGAGAAAATGTCTTCATCCTTAAATATCAGTTTATTGGACATTTCAAACCCTTGTGAAGTCATCGTTCTGTGTTTTTACAAGACCCTTGTTCGACATTGTTCTTATTACATGTGGATGTTAACCAGCACAGCTTTACAAGCAAAAATATTGTTAAAACTTGTGAATGATTATTTACACAATATATTTATCTCATCGAATTTCTTTTAAGAATGCAGAATCCACATCCATGATGCAGTCTGTTTTCAGTGATCATTCCTACCATGAGATGCAACCTGAAGAAGTATATTTTGTTATGTGAAAATAACTTTTTTGTACAAATACACGTATTGTTTCTCAACCTTCTAATACCCCACAATTTGTTACCATACATCCTGTGCCTAAGTTCAGGAGCTTCTATAAAGCTATTAGGGTGATAACCAACAGGGCAAATTGAATTTATTTATGACTATTGAGGTATAAACATTCATACTCACATACATACATAGCCACATACTTACAGTACATACATTAAGTAGTATAAACTAAATGTATGACAAAAATAGTAAAGTCATATTCACCATTTGCTTTACGTGCCTGATATATATATATTAAGCACTTTCTAAGGATTTTGTGAAGTCATAATTAATCATAATTATTAATCTGCATACACATACACACACATACATACACACACATAATACAACCTTAAGATAAATGATTTTACATATTTTAGGACTTGTTTAGTGCAGTGTGCAGGGAGGTTCAGTGGAGTGCTGTAAAACCAGTGAATAGTCCATGGGGGGTTTGTACTTTTGTGTATTCAAAAGTAATGCCGCCCCACCCCGAGTTAAAATGTTGCAGCTATTCGTCATATCATTGCATTCATGTGACAACCCTTGCAAATCGTTGACGAGGATGAAATGGATTCTCCATTGGCACTTTTTAAGTTTTCCTTTGGAATTACACCAGATGCGAGATTATTTTGAATTGGCTACACTTAGCAAAGAAAACGTTTCTTTATTTGAAACAGGTATGCAAGATAATCTGCAATGGTGAACATCCTTTTAGCTTTACATATACTATTTCCTTTATCGGTATGGTATTTAGCACTTTCTAGCATTTTGTAAATATTACAATTTAATTATTTTAGGCAATGAGAATGATGCAAGCGATTTTACTGATCTTCCAGAAAAAAATGGTCATAAAATTTTGGCGTCATCTGAAAGTGGTATTTGTTCTTGTGGTGCAGAGTGGGATAAACGTTCTATTCAAGATGAATCGTTGTACGTAGACTTGTGTTCAGTTGCGTACTTTTGTTCAATCCATGATGTGAAGGGTAAGTTCTGATTTGTTATAGGTTACGCTTCACTTCATAATTATTTGACTTAAATAAATTATTTAGTGTATTGTAGACCTTGCTCCTCTTGTGCTACGAAAAAGCATTATGATGGCATTTAAAACAGGATTGTATGGTTTGGATCATATGCAATATCTCATACCGTTCTAAAAGATTACATTCGGCTTTTCATAACGTCGAGGTACTTTTGATATACCCAAGAAAGATCTCTCGTGGTAACATGTTAGGTATGGCCAGTGGTTGGTCATCGTCATTGAGCCTTTTGACACCAGTTCAGTATACATTAAATGTCCTGAAGACGTTGAGGAGGTTGCTAGTAAAGCGTCGCCTAAACCAGAAGTTAGTTTTCATGGTATGCTAACGGATTACGCAAACGTTGTTAGGAAGAAGCTCACATCAAATGGTTATGGTCTCGTTCCATCGTCGTCTGAGGATGTTTCATGTTTATCCTGTATCTTTCACCAATGTTACAAATACTTAGTTTTTTTATGTTTTTTGAAATTGTCGTTTTTATGACTATTATTTTAGAGCATAGACATTGAAGAATCTTGTGGTAGTACAGGTATTTTCAACATTTTTTTGTTGAAAATTCTCTAGTTTCAATTCTTCGAAATTTCTCATCTTAATTTTCATCTTTACTTTAGAATCCTTTCGATACGAGAAATCGTCGGGATTTGAGGTACTTTATACGATATATTGAATTTAAATTTTATAGCGTTAATAACTGTCACCTGTCCATCGTAACTTTGCTATAATTCTATGGATAAATTATGTTTTTATATATAACAGATTATTGATGATCCTACTTCACCTGAAGGTGTTCAGCAAGAACGACGTATGAAGTTACTGTCGTTAATTAACAATAAAGCCCTTGATAAAGGGTTGGATGGTCAAAATCATAAATGTCATGGTTCTTCCAGACCAATTGGAATGAGTATGATCAATGAATTCTCGACTTGTTATTTGCTTATAACTCCAATATATTTATTTTCAAATTTCTTAGCTTAATAAATATTATCCTTTGTAGAAACTATTACAACAAAGTACAAAATCCCTTTTTTCCGTGAAGCCCATGGATGCGTTCATTATGATGAAAGAGTCATATTGTATAATGAGGCTCTCGTTCATCACGAGAGAGTTATGAGAAAGTTACGTTGTAAAAGGTAATAAGTAAAAAACGTATAAACATGCTTAGTGTTTGTTTAAGTTAAAGTTCAAAAAGGCAGAAATTTTTTGAACCTTTGAAGTATCCTTGGACGTTCTAGTTTTTTTTATGAGAAGAATTCTTGTAAAGAAAAAGACAAATTTTGGAAACCAAACAATCCCGTTTTCGGTTGATGCCTCCCGATACCCCGAGATAGTTGAGCACTAGAGCGTCGCATGTTAACTAAGGGAACCACATAATCCTTGTTTGTTTTCCATGAAACATATGGATGGTTTGCTCCTGATACATGAGAAACAGTAAATGGGAGAGTTAAATCAGAAAGATATCAACCGATAAAAGTGGTATAAAATTGTTTAGGGTTGTCTTTAATTATAAGTGTCAGAACAAGACAGGGTCATAAGAAGTTAATCGATACATTGCTTGGTTTGTTTTATGAGAAGAAAACAACAAGATAAAATTCGAAAGCAAAAAACCCCGTTTTCGGTCCATGCTTCCCGATAGCTTCTTAAGCGCAAGGCACTAGAACGCCGCATGTTAACGTTTCGGTAGGAGATTTCGGCCCCTCCACGCTATCCTACTTGGGAGATGCCAATAGCAAGCTTCCGCCCATCAGACCCTGAGATCACCTGCGATAGGCTTTGGTCAGGGTATGCTGGGAGAGTGCGGTCGCCACCGAAGTGAGGGCCCTAAGCCACTGCATACTATATCGCACCCAGCTTCCACTGCTAGTTGAAATCTACTATATGAAGTTTTAGCTTTATATATATATACCAAAATTTAAAGCCGTACGAAAGTTGTGGGATGATTGTTATCGTTACTGCGCATGCGCAGATGATTTGTCTTAAAACGTTTGACTAAGCGAGCTAATTACTCCAAAATCGGTACTAGTACATCCAGTTGGTCGTTACTATGAGCTTGGAGAGTTTGTGGAGTTGACAACGCATGCTCAGATTCTCAATTAATTTGTGACAGAGCGAGCTCTGAAATTGGTGCTTATAGATGCAAGCAAGCTGAAGCAAGTTGAGCAAGTTTTCCATCATATATTTTTGGCATGCTCTTTGTATACTTAAGCTTGTTTTGACAAATGCATGTGAAACTCGTCAACACTTTGTTACGGCACTCGTAATATCCGTGACAACGTTAAAAATGTTTTTTATTTTTCTCTACAACTTTATACCTGCATATTGCATGTCATATCCAAGCTTTCCTTTAATTTGACGTGAAATGGTTTTTATTCACTCTTACATCTTCTGCCTTTATAATTAGTCGACCTGTATTTCTAAACTAATATTTACAAATGCCCGAAGAGAATCTTTTTATTTTATTGGCTCTCTTCTACAAATACAATACCATGTCCGACTATTGAATTGCACGAATTTTTTAATTTGATCACGTTTTTTTGACACGTGTGTTTACCATGGGAAAGATGGATTGCTTAAATGTACCTAGTTGTTTAGACTAGTTGGATCCATAGTTATCCTGAAATGTATACTCTTGTGAAACACCAGTGAGCATACGTAGTGTGTCTTCTATAACCTCTATTCCTGTTCTCCACTTCATCATCTATCCATATTTGTTCTTTTTTAGTTCTCAGCTCAACACAACCCTTGTCTGAAGTTCCTAAAACCTTGATCTACCCAAGAAAGATCTCTCGTGGTTACATGTTAGGTATGGCCGGTGGTTGGTCATCGTCATTGAGCCTTTTGACACCAGTTCAGTATACGTTAAATGTCCTGAAGACGTTGAGGAGGTTGCTAGTAAAGCGTCGCCTAAACCAGAAGTTAGTTTTCGTGGTATGCTAACGGATTAGGAAGAAGCTCACTCAAATGGTTATGGTCTCGTTCCATCGTCGTGTGAGGATGTTTCATGTTTATCCTGTATCTTTCACCAATGTTACAAATACTTAGTTTTTTTATGTTTTTTGAAATTGTCGTTTTTATGACTATTATTTTAGAGCATAGACATTGAAGAATCTTGTGGTAGTACAGGTATTTTAACATTTTTTTGTTGAAAAATTCTCTAGTTTCAATTCTTCGAAATTCTCATCTTAATTTTCATCTTTACTTTAGAATCCTTTCGATACGAGAAATCGTCGGGATTTGAGGTACTTTATACGATATACTGAATTTAAGTTTTATAGCGTAAATAACTCTCATCTGTCCATCGTAACTTTGCTATAATTCTATGGATAAATTATGTTTTTATATATAACAGATTATTGATGATCCTACTTCACCTGAAGGTGTTCAGCAAGAACGACGTATGAAGTTACTGTCGTTAATTAACAATAAAGCCCTTGATAAAGGGTTGGATGGTCAAAATCATAAATGTCATGGTTCTTCCAGACCAATTGGAATGAGTATGATCAATGAATTCTCGACTTCTTATTTGCAAATAACTCAAATATATTTATTTTCAAATTTCTTAGCTTAATAAATATTATCCTTTGTAGAAACTATTATAACAAAGTACATAATCCCTTTTTTCCGTGAAGCCCATGGATGCGTTCGTTCATTATGAAAGAGTCATATTGTATAAGGAGGCTCTCGTTCATCACGAGAGAGTTATAAGAAAGTTACGTTGTAAAAGGTAATAAGTAAAAAAATGTATATACGTGCTTAGTGTTTGTTTAAGTTAAAGTTCAAAAAGGCAGAAATTTTCAGAACCTTTGAAGTATCCTTGGACGTTCTAGTTTTTTTTATGATAAGAATTCTTGTAAAGAAAAAGATAAATTTTGAACACCAAACAATCCCGTTTTCGGTTGATGCCTCCCGATACCCCGAGATAGTTGAGCACTATAGCGTCGCATGTTAACTAAGGGAACCACATAATCCTTGTTTGTTTTCCATGAAACATATGGATGGTTTGCTCCTGATACATGAGAAACAGTAAATGGGAGAGTTAAATCAGAAAGAAATAAACCGATAAAATTGGTATAAAACTTGTTTAAGGTTGTCTTTATTTATAAGTTTCAAACAGGGTCATAACAAGTTAATTGAAACATTGCTTGGTTTGTTTTATGAGAAGAAAACAAAAAGATAAAATTCGAAAGGAAAAAACCCCGTTTTCGGTCCATGCTTCCCGATACCTTCTTAAGCGCAAGGCACTAGAACGCCGCATGTTAACGTTTCGTTAGGAGATTTCGGCCCCTCCACGCTATCCTACTTGGGAGATGCCAATATCAAGCTTCCGCCCATCAGACCCTGAGATCACCTGCGATAGGCTTTGCTCAAGGTACGCAGGGAGAGTGCGGTCGCCACCGAAGTGAGGGCCCCTAAGCCACTGCATACTATATCGCACCCAGCTTCCACTGCTAGTTGAAATCAACTATATGAAGTTTTGCTTTATCTATATATACCAAAATTTAAAGGCGTACGAAAGTTGTGGGATGATTGTTATCGTTACTGCGCATGCCCAGATGATTTCTTTGATAATTTGGGACGAAGTGAGTTAATTGACACAAATGTAGTGCAAGTACATATAGTTGTCGTTGTCATGAATATGAACAATTACTCGAGTGGAGTGCGCATGATCGGGCGCATGCGCAGACGATTTCTCTATTAAATTGTTACTAAGCATGCTATTTACTTCAAAATTGGTTCTAGTAGATGCAGTTGATCGTTTCCATGACCATGAACTTGGGTTTCTGATCAAATTTGGTCAACTGGATGAACTAGTACCGATTTTGGAGCAATTAGCTCGCTCAGTCACACGTTTTAAGACAAATATTCTGCGCATGCGCAGTCTCATTTAGCATGCGCAGTCAACTTGACCTGCTCCCCAACTTCATGGTCATGGCAACGACCAACTGCATCTACTAGCACCAATTTTGAAGTAAATAGCATGCTTAGTAACAATTTAAAAGAGAAATCGTCTGCGCATGCGCTCCATCATGCGCACTCCACTCGAGTAATTGTTCATAGTCATGATAACGACCAACTATATGTACTTGCACTACATTTGTGTCAATAAACTCAATTAGTCGCAAATTATCAAGGAAATCATCTGGGCATGCGCAGTAACGATAACAATCATCCCATAATTTTCGTACGCCTTTAAATTTTGGTATATATATATAAAGCTAAAACTTCATATAGTAGATGTGAACTAGCAGTGGAAGCTGGGTGCGATATAGTATGCAGTGGTTTAGGGGCCCTCACTTCGGTGGCGACCGCACTCTCCCTTTGTACCCTGAGCAAAGCCTATCGCAGGTAATCGTAGGGTCTGATGGGCGGAAGCTTGCTATTGGCATCTCCCAAGTAGGATAGCGTGGAGGGGCCTAAATCTCCTACCGAAACGTTAACATGCGGCGTTCTAGTGCCTTGCGCTTAAGAAGGTATCGGGAAGCATGGACCGAAAACGTGGTTTTTTGCTTTGGAATTTTATCTTTTTGTTTTCTTCTCATAAAACAAACCAAGCAATGTTTCAATTAACTTCTTATGACCCTGTCTGACACTTATAAATAAAGACAACCTTAAACAAGTTTTATATCAATTTTATCGTTTTATATCTTTCTGATTTAACTCTCCCATTTACAGTTTCTCATGTATCACGAGCAAACCATCCATATGTTTCATGGAAAATAAACAAGGATTATGTGGTTCCCTTTGTTAACATGCGACTCTCTAGTGATCAACTATCTATGGGTATCGGGAGGCATGGACCGAAAACGGGATTTTTTGGTTTTCAAAATTTGTCCTTTTCTTTACCAGAATTCTTCTCATAAAAAAAACTAGAACGTCCAAGAATACTTCAAAGGTTTAAACAACATCTGCCTTTCTGAACTATAACTTAAACAAACACTAAGCATGTTTATAGGTTTTTTACTTATTACCTTTTACAACGTAAGTTTCTCATAAATATCTCGTGATGAACGAGAGCCTCCTTATACAATATGACTGTTTCATCATGAACGAACGCATCCATGGGCTTCACGGAAAAAAGGGATTATGTACTTTTTCATAATAGTTTCTACAAAGATGACATTTATTAAGCTAAGAAATTTGAAAATAGATATATTTGAGTTATTTTCAAATAACAAGTCGAGAATTCATTGATCATACTCAATCCAATTGGTCTGGAAGAACCATGACATTTATATTTTTGACCATCCAACCCTTTATAAGGGCTTTATTGTTAAATAACGACAGTAACTTCATACGTCGTTCTTGCTGAACACCTTCAGGTGAAGTAGTATCATCAATAATCTGTTATATATAAAAACAAAATTTATCCATAGAATTAGAGCAAAGTTACCATGGACAGATGAGAGTTATTAACGCTATAAAACTTAAATTCAATATATCGTATAAAGTACCTCAAATCCCGACGATTTCTTGTATCGAAAGGATTCTAAAGTAAAGGTGAAAATTATGATGAGAAATTTCGAAGAATTGAAACTAGAGAGTTTTTCAACAAAAAAATGTTGAAAATACCTGTACTACCACAAGATTCTTCAATGTTTATGCTCTAAAATAATCGTCATAAAAACGACAGTTTCAAAAAGCATAAACAAACTAAGTATTTGTAACATTGGTGAAAGATACAGGATGAACATGAAACCTTCTCAGAATACGATGGAACGAGACCATAACCATTTGATGTGAACTTATTCCTAACAACGTTTGCGTAATCCGTTAGCATACCACGAAAACTAACTTCTAGTTTAGTCGACGCTTTACTAGCAACCTCCTCAACGTCTTCAGGACAATTAAAGTGGTACTAAAACGAAAATTTTGCCTCCCGTTTTTTTTTCATAGATTAATAGTGTATGTAAAAAAATCTCTTCTGGCGAAATTTTAGCGCAATGTATCCAATGCTGCTCGAGTTACGTAGCAATAAAACTTGTACTTTAAGAGCCGCCATTAAAATGCGCCATATTTGAATTTTTTAAGAAGGAAGGTGCTTTTGACGTCATAGTCTTAACTCGCGGCTGTTTACAATATAACACTATATACAAATAGAGATATAAAAGGTTGTATAACTCAATTTTTTAACATGCCTTCAACACGCTGTGTCGTGCAAGATTGCAGTAATACGTCTGATAGAAGTACAGGCATTTCATTACATAAAAGCCCAAACGACGAGTATGGCAAGCCAAACCTACCAAAAGTGTATCGAGATTTATAAGTCGTATTAGAATTACTATAAGTCTATTCGAGATTCGTAAAGTGGTACTCGAGATTACTATAATGCGGTGTGAAAACTATATTATTATTGTTGAGTTGTGGTTGTGTATGACGAGATTTATATGACGAGTTTTATATGACGAGTTTCATATGACGAGTTTTATATGACGAGTTTCATATGACGAGTTTTATATGACGAGTTTCATATGACGAGATTTATAAGACGAGTTTTATATGACGAGTTTCATATGACGAGATTTATAAGACGAGTTTTATATGACGAGTTTCATATGACGAGTTTTATATGACGAGTTTCATAAGACGAGATTTATAAGACGAGTTTTTTTTATAAACTGTAACAGTGTAAAGAGATTTATAAGAGGTCACGAGTTGTTTACAAACTGTAACGAGATTTCCCAAGATGGCGTCCGCTAGTAATGCAACTTATTTCGAAGCAAATGAAGAACTTACTGAATTTTTCCAAATGTTGGATGCATTGTTTAGCCATTGTCGGGATTTGTTTGCCCAACACAGAAAATCACTCACACAGTTTCGTTTTAACAATATTTATTGTCCCTCTCGCTTGAAACAATTACAAATGTGCTAACAACAGCTCTAACATGCTGTCCCTCTTTTTCTGTAATTCTCCCAGTGTTGTTGTTGTCTCTACCGGTACGAACCGGCCCTTCCCGACTTTGGTCTCGCGCGACCCACGCGTTAACAAAACTGTTTATACTTTCCGACACCCTCCCCCCATTTGTCTCGCCAGTGACAAATGTCACTAACTACTATCCTCAAAGTTTGAGACTAGTATTCTAGGCCGGAATTCTTTCGCGTCTGGATCCAGGGTATTGTTTTCTGTGGCTACTTTTGCATCTTCTACTCTATGTAGTTCTAATGGGAATAGATGGTGTGGTGCTCGGTCAATATGCGTTTTCCGTGTTTTAATCTTTGCTCCTCGAACAACTCCATCCCTTCCCTCATACAGTTCCTCTACGATACCTACACTCCATTTTCCTCGATTTCTTTCTTCTCCTTTTATTAGCACTACGTCACCCACTTCTGGAGATTTTCCCATTTTTCCATGTTTCAGGTTATGTCTCTCTCTTAATGATCTTAGATACTCCCCCGTCCACCTCTTCCATATGGCTTTCTTACATCGCTGAATATGTTTTGCTCTTTTCCTTAATTCCTCTTCTTCACTTGTTTCATCATTTTCAATCACTGAGACGGACGGTTGGCCAGTTATCATGGCATTTGGTGTAAGAATTGGCAATTCGTGGTCGTCTTCCACGTACGCTAGAGGTCTATTGTTTAGACATATCTCCACATCAAGGATTACCCCTTCCAATTCTTTCCATGTGAGGCTTGATCGACCAACTACCTTATAAAATGCTTGTTTCACCAATCCTATCAGTCTTTCATACTGTCCACCCCACCAAGGGGCCTTGCTTAGGTTGAATTGCCACTTGATATTGTTCTTGGCAAGATAGTCATGAACTTGTTCATCTCTTGAGATTTTCCGCACACGTTTGGCTGCGGCCACAAAGGTCTTGGCATTATCTGAGTACACTTTATCTGGCTTGCCACGTCTAGCAACTAACTTCTTGAAGCTATGCATGAATTCTTCTGTTGACATATCTGGTAGCATCTCTAATTGAACCGCTCTTGTTAGGCTGCATCCCACGAGGAGTAGGTACGCTTTTCCTTCTTTACCTGCTCGTTTCTTATAGATGAACGGACCTGCGTAATCAACACCTATGACTTGGAATGGCCGTGATCCTTCTGTGCGGTCCTTTGGGAGGTTGCCAGTGGGTGGTTTGGCGAATGCACTCGCTTGGAACCTCTTGCAACCGTTGCATCTGCTTCTGACCTTTTTTGTGAGTTGTCGAAGACGTGGTATCCAGTAATTTTCCTCACCGCAGTCATTGTCAGACTGACTCCCCCATGGAGAGTGCGTAAATGTTCGTGCATGACCAACTTCTTTGCTAATTCGGACTCTGGTGGAATGTAGATCGGGCATTCTCCTTGCATCCTTCCGCGACATTCCAGCACTCCTTCCTCATTTTTCTTAAGGTTTAAGCGTTGAGTGTCTTCTCTCATCTGATCCGAGTTTTCAAAGCGCAGCTGTTCTCTTTTCAGCCACCAGAGAACTTGTGCTTGTAGCTCGTTAGTCGTGAGTGGACCCCGTCGACGTTGCTGTTTTTTCTTGAGGTTATACACGAACCTGAACACCCATGCTGTTATTCTCATGGTTTTCCAATAGGGGTATTTCGCCAAGATTGCTGAAAACCTGTCCTCCTCTAGTTGAACTGCAGGCATGAAGACTTCTTTGCATTTCTTTACTTCCGCTTCCGTCTCAACTGTAGCTTCTATGATTACTTCCCTAGGCCATTTTTCAGGGTTGGAAAGCCATTTTGGTCCTTCAAGCCATTTTTCAGACAACTGATCTCCGTTGCAGCCTCGGCTTCCAATATCGGCGGGGTTATCTTTTGTTCCTACGTGCCTCCATGAAATGTAATTCTTTTCTCTAATTACCTTTACCCGATTTGCTACGAATTGCTTGTAATTTCCACTTCCATTTATCCAGTATAAGGCAACCATGCTGTCAAGCCATCCAACACAATGCCTTACAGGCAACCCTTCAAGGACGGATCGCACGTTGTCCATCAGCCTTGCCGCCATTTGAGCAGAGACTAACTCAAGTCTTGGAATGGTCAACCCTTTCTTTGCCAATCTTGATTTAGCTGTTACGAGTCCTTGACCGATACCCTTACCTTGTTGGATAACTGCATACACGGCTGCCGACGTACCTTGGCCACTAGCATCTCCAAATGCGTGCAAATCTATGGCTTCTATCCTTTCTCTGTGTGTGACTAAACTCCTGGGCACTTCAATTATACTTGGTACTCTAGTACACCAGTTGCGCCAACGGTGCACCAGGTTATCAGAAAGTTGTTCGTCCCAGGGTAAATTAGCTTCACAGATGTCCCTATAGATCATCTTTCCAAGTACACTAATTGGCGAAACTAAACCGAGAGGATCAAAGATTGAAGCAATCTCGCTAAGTACTATCCGTTTTGTTACGTTTTCTTCGTTGAATTTTTCGGGGAAATGGACACCGATTGTATCTTTGCTTTTGTTCCAAGGCATGCCCAATAGTTTTGTCTCATTTTCTCTAACGCCCAGTCGTTGGTCAGCGTAACTTTGATCGACCGCTGCGTCACTGACCACTGGCTCGCTCGCTTCCAGTTCTTTAAGATTTGAGTGCCATTTGTGCAGAGTGAATTTAGCTCTATCAAAGATTTTGATTGCGGTTTCTTTCAACTGTTGTACTTCCTCCACAATGCACCCTCCCGTGAGCAGGTCATCAACGTACAAGCTATCTCTTATCTCAGCTACTTCTTTTGGAAACTCCTGTTCTTGACTGTTGAGATGTTGATTGAGTGTCCCAGCTAAAAGAAACGGTGATTGATTTAATCCAAACAGAGCTCGCGTAAATCGGTAAACTTCGACTTGCTTGGGGTCTTCTTTGCTCACCCAATGAAACCGTAAGACATCTCGGTCTTTTTGCTTTATCCTGATCTGTAAGAACGCTTGCTTTAAATCCGCTGAAAGTGCTACAGGCTTGAACCGATTGCTCACAAGAACATTCCACAAGAGATTCTGTAATATCGGCCCTGTTTCCAAACAGTCGTTCAATGATGGTGAGTCTTCACTTTCCTTGGCTGAGGCATCATAAACCACGCGAACTTTAGTACTTTCTGCTGATTCTCTGACTACCGGTTTGTGTGGGAGGTAGAATTCACGTCCCTTTGCTTCATGTGTCACCTTCTCAATGATTCCTTGTTCTTCTTGTTCTTTCATTATCTGCTGGTACTGTTCAAAGAGTCTTGGCTTTTTCTCAAGCCTTTTGACTAATTTGCCAAGCCTCGCAAGGCTCCCTGCCTTATTACTAGGTAGACTGCTGGTGGTTGGCTTGTACAAAAGCCCTGTCTCATACCATCCTTCTGGACTTTGGATTAACTGATCTTTAAAATCCTGGTAGATTGTTTCATCTCCATTTGACTGATCTTCCAAACCAAGCACGTCTAGGTCGCATAATTTCCTGTAATCTTCCATAGAAGACCTTGCAAACAATGATTTCGTGAGATCCTCCTCAGTTCCTGGTGATAACAATGTCCAACCAAATTTAGTGAGTTCAGCTACTGGTTCACCAGGTTCACCAATGCAGGGCTCCGTAGCAGTTTTGATCTTAGCATAATCACTGCACCCAAAATTAAATGGACAGGAAGTTGAGGTTTTGCATCAGTATCATCCATTTTGACCTTCTTGAGATGATCAAACTTACTTAAAACTTCTTCATATTTAGGATTGTCAACGAGGAGTAAGTTATTCCGGTCGACCTTTGTTACTTCAGTTTTGAGCTTGTGTTTCTCGTCTAAGTCACTGATTGTTACTTCGTGTACCTCAATTATACGGCTTGTAGACTGCATCATCATTTCTATCCTTTTGAACACCTTCCGCACCGGTCGCTTATTCAATCTCTCCACCAGCGCTCCTGAAGCGTACGAGCTCCCAGCCCCTGTGTCTAGAAGTGCTCTGCAAATAATTCCGTCAACTTTGACCAGAACGATTGGATATATCACCTTGTTCTCCCCCTTTGCTACCAGCATTTGTTCGGTTTGTGGTTTAACACCTTCTTGCTCATTTGGTCTTTTATCGCAGATGGATGAGTGATGCCTTCTTTTGCAATGTTGGCATGTTTGTTGGCTACGACATTCAGACGCTTTGTGTCGGGGACCCGTACAGTTAAAGCACAGTTTCTTTTCTCCAAGAATTCTTCTACGATCACTAACACTGACCACCCTTTTACACTCAGCAGATCGATGACTAGTATCATTGCAATATACACACCCCTTTATTCTCGACTCTTGTTGACGAACTTGAAAGCTCCTTGATTTGCTATGCCTGTCCTGAGAGCCATCATCTTGTTTGACTGGATTTCTCACCGTCCACTTTCTTAGCGCTTCGATGAACTCCGGAAACCTCCATTCTTGCCAGTCGTCATCGGTTCTCACAAGATCGCTTCGAATTCCTTCTAGTTTGTCAATTGTCATTCTGACATAGCCTGATACTTCCTTGAGTTTCCCAAGTGTCTCGAGAGATTGTACGCTTGTTAGTAGTGTTTCATAAAATGCATGGATTTTACCAGGCTTAGTTCCTTGAATGTTGGGCAGGTTGATGATGTTTTGAACATAAGCGTTGATGATTTCGCTGGTTTTGCCGTATTTAGTCGTCAAAATGTTCTTAGCTCGTTCATATCCCTCTGATGTGAATGGTAATCCATCAATACATGACCGCACTTTTGGTTCGACAAGCTCCTTTAAGTATGAAAATTTGGTTATACTAGAGACATCCGAATTGTCAATTTCAGCATTAAACTGCCCCAAAATCTAAGCCAGTCCGTATGTTGTCCGGTAAACTTGGTAATAACCAGTTTCGGTAATTTTGTCGTCAATTTGGTGGCGCCATTTTTTCCGCTTGTGGACTTTTCTCGATTTTCAGACAAGGCCTTCTCGTGCTCCATGCGACGCTCAAATTTAGTTTGTTCTAGTTTCAAATCTTCTTCGCCCTTAACCCGATCTTGTTCGTGTTTCAACTCCCGTATAGCGTTCTCGAATTCTGCCAGTTTCCCTTCAATTTTCTCCGTCCAGTCTCGTACATTGTCTACGTTTTCGCCGCTCTCAAAGTTTAATTCCTGAATCTGCTCTTTTAAAGCGTGTACTTCTTCGGTTTTCCTTTCTAAAGTCTTCCTCTGTCTCTCCATTCCTGCTAAGTCATTTTTCTCCAAGATATCTACTGTTTTCTCGTTTGTGAACTTCAGGAATTGGATTTTCGTCTCGATCGCTTTTACTAGTTTATCCATGTTAATCTCGTCCCATCGGGGGTGCCACTTGTCGGGATTTGTTTGCCCAACACAGAAAATCACTCACACAGTTTCGTTTTAACAATATTTATTGTCCCTCTCGCTTGAAACAATTACAAATGTGCTAACAACAGCTCTAACATGCTGTCCCTCTTTTTCTGTAATTCTCCCAGTGTTGTTGTTGTCTCTACCGGTACGAACCGGCCCTTCCCGACTTTGGTCTCGCGCGACCCACGCGTTAACAAAACTGTTTATACTTTCCGACAGCCATTTAGAAATTGCTATAGTACTTAATGATACTCTTGATTTGGAACATTGTAAATGCAAGTTAGAACGAAATCTTCCAATTGTTACAGCAATGCTCGTGGCCGTTAACAATGAAAGATATGACGACACGATAGACTTACTATCACCTCAGCCCTCATTTGTCTCGCTGTTGGAAAGATTAAGTGTTGGAATAGAAGAGGAAATACGCAGGCTAAGAGCGATCTTGGATTACACGTCTCCTGAGAATAGAAGAGAAGTTATTTCATTCCGGTCAAGTACGGGAGGGAGGCCTTGTTTTGATATAACCAAAGTACAGATAGAGCAATTACGAGATACCGGAATGAAATGGAAAAGTATAGCTAGCTTCCTAGGTGTATCAGAACAAACAATTTACCGGAGAAGGATTGAATATGGAGTTGAGGCTAGCTTTACAGACATCACCGATGATAGTTTAGATGGGCAGATAAGAGATATTTTAAGGCTTACCCCATATAGTGGAGAATGTTATATCAGGGGTAGTTTAAGGGCTAGAAAGATCTATGTCCAAAGAGAAAGGGTCAGAGAAAGTCTTCGGAGAATCGATACTATTGGAAGAAATATGCGAAGGAGGTATGCGATTTGTAGACGGGTTTATAACGTTCCCGGGCCGAATTTTCTTTGGCATATTGACTCAAACCATAAGCTTATATCCTGGCGATTCGTTATCCATGGTTGCATCGACGGGTTTAGTCGGGCAGTCATTTACCTAGAGTGCTGCGCTGATAATAGAGCTCAGACAGTAGTTGATCTTTTCAAAAAAGGGATTGGTGAATTCGGTTTGCCTTCAAGGGTTCGTGGAGATCGAGGTGTCGAAAACGTTGACGTAGCACGGCTAATGATATCACGTCGTGGTGAGAATAGAGGTAGTTTCATTGCCGGGCGAAGTGTGCATAACCAAAGGATAGAACGGTTGTGGGCAGAAGTAAACCGGGTTCTTTCTGCTCTATACGTTGGTGTCTTTAAATTCATGGAAAACGAAAACCTGTTAGATCCGTTCAATGAGCATCATCTATTCGCCCTTCACTTCGTTTTCAAACCACGTGTAAGTGCGTCACTTTCGGAATTCAGGGAGCAATGGAACCATCATGGACTAAGGACTGCCGGTCACCAAACCCCCATGACACTTTGGCAAACGAACATGATTCCTGTTGCAGATGAATCTCCTATTGTTAACTTTGAAGAATATGGTCTAGATTCAAATGGCCCAGTTCCAGACGTCGATACAGATAATTATGTTGTGGTACCTGAAAACATACTGCAGCTGACGGAAGAACAACTGGAGCTTCTATGTAGTGAAGTCAACCCCTTAAGCGATGACGGCAATTATGGAATCAATCACTTCATACAAACACTTGATATTGTCAACACATTTTATGTTCAGTGATTGAACTAATTTATGATCAAAAATCGAGGTAAATAAGAAATATAAATAGAGGATGCATCGATCATATACTTGAAGCAATGTCAGCAATGTTACCGCGTGTGAATGTGCATTAATTATTTAGGTTAGCACTATTTTCCACCCAGCAAACCGTCCTTTACTTTGAAATATAATATTTTACACAATATAATATTTTACACAATCTAATATTTTACACAATATAATATTTTATGTAATATTTTACACAATCGTCGAAAAACGACATATTTTCCAGCCTGGATTATAAGTTTATAGCTTAAGGTGGTTGCATGAAAATTTATACTGCAACATTTATCTGTAAATATTTTCATATTTTGATATTAAAAACTGTATTATAAAAATATAAAATTACTCGCCATCTCAAAACGACCTAGCACCAGTGCATGCATGGTTTCCTTTTAGCTTTTGGTTCTTTCCCATTAGCCGCCATCTTTAATTTATTTCCGATTGTGTAAAGGGCGGTTTGCTGGGTGGAAAATAGTGCTAACCAATTATTTACTAGCTACCTTAAAATGAAAAAAATGGGTGCGATAAGGTCCTATCACATTTAACCATATCGCGATTATTGTAAGTAAAGCTTCCAAACAAAATAAAGAATAAATAAGTTTGTTCCTTTAAACGACTTCATCATAATTTGTACAGTTGGATCGTAGATATATCTCTGATCGTCCGTACATATCAATAGTGTACAAATTATAAGTCGAACGATTTTAATAAAATTTCAATCAAACGTAGTTATAAGCATTGTTCAAGATGTAAAAACGAACTGTTAACGTAATTTTATACAATGTCAAATGACCAAGATTGTCCTTCCTTCAATAAGTTATTGAACTCAGATGCAAGATCACCATAGCTCTCATATGTGGTAGGAATTTCTAAACAAGGTCCACATGTATGAGCAATAGGTCGTCTTTGGAGTCCACTTAGATTTGAAAAAGTTACTTCTATCGATGTGCAAGTAATACAGTCGCTTCCAGTGATGAAATGGAGAAATCTCTCGATAGCTTTACCTTCTAACGACCGAATGTACCTTTTCAAATGATCTATTGTAAGGCGCTCTATTTCATTTCCGGTTTCGGCGTTAATCAATTTTATTAATTTTTTGGCCGTAGGTTGCCTACTGGTATAAAGTTGAAGAATGTCTTCTTGTGTTTTAAAAATGTCATCGTATTGGAGCATTCTTAAAACTGGAGACCAGCAGTGAATTATGTACCGTGGCTTTTGAAGAAGTTCTTGGTGAGCCAACTCGAACATAATCTCCTTGATGTTATCTTTCGTCGGAAGTTTAAAACACTTGAACATTGAGAGAAAGTCAAGAATGTCTTCGTCTTCGAGGTCACAATTTTCGTTCATGCAATTATCAAAAACTCGGCGATCTTCAAGAGTCACGTAGTCACGAAAGGAATTCAGCAACAACTCTCTACTTAAATTGTCCTCTCCGAATAAGCATGTACATAGCAGTGCCGGTGATATTTTCATAGGAAAGTATTTCAGCAGGTTGTAACCGTAGACAATAACTCTAGCAATAGACTGCCAATCATTTTTTTGCATGTCGTGCCTAATCATAGGAATCTTATCGCTGGAGCCGAAACAGTAGGTGTTGTATACCTCATGCCAAAAATGTGTCAAAACATCCAGCATTACTCCTTTTCCTTTCCCTTTTTCTTCCCTGCCACTGTAATCAATCACGGTGGGGCAAACCAAACAATTAAGCACATCTGCATCATTAAAAATGGCTATGACATCTTGACGTATTGTAGTTCTGTGCACAATAACAGCTCTTACTTCTCTGTTCTCAGCTGGCAAAGACAGGAATGGAGTATCTATCAATGCGGAAAAAACACCTGCAGAAAAAAATTCAATTGCAATTCAGACAAAGACAATATACCAGTATTTTCAAATCATATTACCAAGATCTATGAATTGATAATCTAAATTAGAACAAGGCCATAAGATGAGAACCTGCTTCGTTCAAAAGAGTAAGATCATCAGTTTCAAGGAGTGTGCTAGTTTGAGTTGAGGAGCCAGTTGCAGACAGTGAACCAGTTTCAGCCACACCATCAGTTGCAACCACACCATCAGTTTCAGCCACACCATCAGTTGCAACCACACCATCAGTTTCAGCCACACCATCAGTTGCAGGCACAATATCAGTAGTAGGCACAGAATGAATTTCACTGGTTTCAGATATGCTTATATCATCATCATCCAAAGGTTCATCTATTCCTATATAACATATTTTTTAACAAATTCTTGCAAAACTATTGCAATGCATAACAATTTGCATATCATTATAAGCATATTCATTTGAATCGATTGCTTTTCTTTACCTTATAAAGAATAAAAATTCTGAGTGACTAAAATCTTGTGAAAATGAATGCAGACTACAATAATTAAATTAAACTATTTTAAAAGCTAAGTGCCCAAATGAGAGCTGTCTTATCTGAATTCATATGAATAATTTAATCAAGGTGAACAATAGTCATGACTTAAGTTTCTTAATTCTGAAAATTTATATAGATTTGCTAAAAGAAAGAATATAAAATGATATACCTCGACATATTACTGTCACAAAAACAATTGTAAAAAAAGTTTGTTTGAATTTAAAAAAATACTTTTTACATTATTTTAGTGTACAATCACTTGATCCTCTCTTATGACAAATGTGGAAAGATCCCTTGCTTTTACCCAATCTATGTATTTTACCTTCACTAGAATTGCTGCCTGGTTCCTGTAAATGAACAACATATCAGTTTTTAAAAGCACACTATTTACATGATGAGCATGTAGCAATCTAATTCTCCAACCTTTGTTGCATTTCCCATGTTAAGCAGCTGAACACTAGGTCGTACATACACTGGCTTTTGTGCGTATAATCTGTGGAGGATAACACCATCCAATGTCTGACCAGGGGCTAATGTTGGCGCAACCAGAGTGGAATGTACCGATGTTAACAGTTCTATATCTGTACCATGCGGAATTTTTCCATCAAAGGCCATCATTATATTAGTTTCGACAGCAGCGGCTGACAAATCTTTTGAAAACCGACAACCTGAAATCATGTGTCCATTTTCTACCAACATCAGCCGAGTGCCTTGCCGTGGAACTGTATTATCTTTGGGGCCGCTTAATAGGATTAAATCTCTCAAAATGGCCTGTTATCAATTGCTGTTGATGAACGAGTTCGCCTTGTTCGGCTTCTTGCAGCAGGTCTACTTGCGGGAAAATAGCGCCTCGATTGAAATGCAGTGGATGAATTCCTTCTAATTGGGAGGCGATTCTCTATTGTGGCTGTTGATGCCATTTGATTAGGGTGATGCGTTAATTCTCTCTGGCGACTCGTTTCAGCATTTGGTAAATTCGTATGCCGTCCAAATATAGTTCTCACTTCTGACCTTACAGAACTGTCCACGTCAGGTGATATTCTTTCAGACAGCTCTGTAACTCTGCCAAGAAGTTCCTGAATAATTTCTCTATTGCTCATTTCTGTCATTTAGGTGAGAGCGATACAGTATAGATAGAAAATACAAAGTTCCCAACCCGCCGAAATTTTGCATATAATTAATAACTGCTTTTGAAACAAACACGTGTTCTTTAACCCAATACTTCATGTTGTTAGAGGAAAACTCGCGATATAAACTCGTAATATGAAACTCGTCATATAAAACTCGTCATATGAAACTCGTCATATAAAACTCGTCCTATAAATCTCGTCATACGAAACTCGTCATATAAAACTCGTCTTATAAATCTCGTCATATGAAACTCGTCATATAAAACTCGTCTTATAAATCTCGTCACAGTTTATAAAACAACTCGTCATATAAATCTCGTCATACACTACTCGTACCGCTTTACGAATCTCGAATAGACTTATAGTAATTCTAATACGACATATAAATCTCGATACACTTTTGGTAGGTTTGGCTTGCCATAGACGAGTCTTTAAGAAGAATTTGGGTTAAATTTGTTGAGACGAAGCGCGCAAACTTTAATCCGAGTTCGCGCGAAATTCGATTTATGATTTGTTCGAATCACTTCTCGGATGATTGTTTTGAGCGTTTTTTCCATTTGGGTGGTATGACTAGACGGCTCAAACCTGGTGCCGTACCTACTATTTGGAAGAAATCGCCAACACCAACAACGTCAAGAGAGCGACGTCAGGTTAGCACAAGTTACAACTATTATATACTTACACATATTGCAGATGATAAATTTTCACAATTTGAGAGAACCAATAATACATCCAGGCAAACTTTCAATATATAATATACATTTATACTAAGGTTTTAAAGGAAATACAAAATGAAGTGTCTGTATCATGCATGAAGAAAGAAGATTCGTGCTATTTTCAAGAAGAAAAAGGCACAACTGAAATTCCAGACCAATCTGAGAATGATGCATATGTAAAGCCAACAATTGCTCTTCACACATACGTGCACTTCGTAAAACAACTATTCCTCAATATTCTTACAGGACCAACAGATTACGCCCGATGCACCTAATTACACGGAAATGTCTGGAGCTGCCTGTAAAGTCCCATACAAGACGCACGAGTTGTCTGTACGATACTGCTCGAAAGAACCTATAAATTTCAAAAAGTAAACATAGACGCAGGCGCACAAAATAATATTTTTAGAATTTTCACAAAGAAAAAGGCTTACTCCTCTCTGGTCTTTTGACCATCTCGAAAAACGGTCGCATAACTGCGATGACCTTTGGTCTTTAAACCTAACGAAGCTGCTTGAAGAACAAATTCGTTCAGGCAAACTTCGTTAAAGCCAGGGTGATCCAAAATGCATTTCCTTTCATCGACTTCGAACTGATTCATTTTGCCACGGCATTGCTCTAATTCCATGCAGCATCGGCACTCTTGAGGGTTGACAACAAGATCCAACGAACAATGGCCACATTCACACCTTTAATATTGGCCAAATTGTATGTTTCCATAAAGTTATCATAGCTAACGGCAGACGATTCAGATCAAAGTAACACACTAAGAATGACATCTTACCATGAAGTAACATCAACACGGGCATCAAAACGATCTTGCAGCATGTCCTCAACCTGCTGTTCTTCTGCGACTGCAGCTTCGTACTCAGCAATTTCATCGGGCGAAGCAAGCGGTTCAATATTATCGGCAAATGGCAAAATTTCCGAATTAGATTCGTCCGAATTTGCCGTCATGAATTCCGATGAAGAAATCGATGCGTTTGTCTCGATCGAAGACTCAGAAAGCGAGCTAGATCTCGATGAATTTGACATTTTTTTGCTCTATTTATGTATTACTTTGTATACTTTCCAATGTGCGCTTCTTGCTGTGTTAAGACTATGACGTCACAGACCTTTGCTGATTGCAAATATTCAAAATGGCCGATTTTAATGGCGGACATGAAAATTAGACATTTCAAATGTTCATAACTCCCTCGTTATACTATTATTTTTGCTTCAATTTTACGAAAGCAATAATTGATATGTGTTTAAACTATTGAATGCTAAAATCGATGATTTTTCAACGTTTAGTTTTCGTCTTAGTACCACTTTAAATAAATCAGATATCAATGTGCAAGATGCTTCGTTTCTGTCAAATTTAATCGAGGAAATACGTAAATATCCTTGCATATGGAATGTTTCTTTAAAAAGTCACAAAGAAAGACGAAGAAAGACCAAAAAAACCTGAAGCCTGGCGTAGGATTTCTACAGCATTGAATGCACCTGGTAAGTTATTCACGAACGAGCTTATACATGATAATGCCATAAGGCAATAAACCCGATAATGAACTTTTCTTGTCGCACAGTTCTTATTATATTCAGTAGTTCTTTTGTTGAAGTAAATATTATAAACTACACTGGCAATTAAAATAACTGCTCACCTACATGTAATATATTAATAGGTTAACATTTGGAAGAAGTGCCAAAACATTACATATAATCATATCAGTCACTCAATAAAAAAGAATCGTACATCTAATAAATAGTGGATCCTCCTTTTGTTTTAAATACAGCTTTGCATTACCTAGATAAAAATTGAGCAGTTCTATTTGACTGCCTGTGCATTAATGTTCTTGCTACTACTTTAAACAGCAATCATATTGTTTACAACAACTATTGATATTATATTTGTTAATTAACTAGTTAATATTGTATTCAAAATTGTATTTGGCTGTAAAATTTACAAACATTGGTACTCTACAATCTACATGTGTATAGGTTATAGTATAACATTAAATTTGAAACAGTAAAATTTGTGAGCAGTTTATTTATGAATATTTTACTTTCAATATAGAAAGTACATTGAACAAAGAATTTGACTGACTGAAAGATAACTATCGTCGATGCATTCGCAAAAGAGAGCAATTAACTCGTTCTGGAAGTGGCTCTACAAAAAAATTGCCCACCTGTGATTATTTTGTGGAGCTATCATTCTTAAGGGATGTAGTAAGTGGGCGGAAAACTGAAAGCAATGTTGAATATGAAATCATTGATCCTGTGAAGGTTTCTGAATCAAGTAGTTTGTCTTTGGATAATCAATCAAGTGACCAGGTTTTTGAACCCAAAACCAGTCAGAAAGCACGCAAGCGAAGATCAGACCAAATTGATGACCTCTTAGCCATCAGTCTTGCTAATGATTTATCCAATGTTAGTAAAACTGGTAGTTGTGAGACAAACAATCAACAAGATGAGGATACACTATTTTGCTTAAGCTTAGTGTCTAGTTTCAAAGGAATGAAGGGAAAAACTAAACAAATGGCTAAGATAAAGGTGTTACAGGTTCTATTTGAGTTAGAAGAAGATGAATGAAATTTATTAGCATCACTGACAAATGTATTACAGAACATTCAATTTGCTTTTTTATTTAAAGTTTGTTGTAACAAGTTATTTTAAGTTTTTGTTTCTGTCTTATAATATATTGATTTGTTCGAACATGTTTAATAATAAGTCTGCCTTATTAGTTATTTTTGTCAAAACAATTTTCAGTGGCATGAACAGATTCCCACTGCCATATAACTTGCCCCTCGTTTGACATAAAATACTTTTTGAAAGCTTCTCTAACTTTTTTGGCATTACGAGAGTAGTTGTTTGATCCATCTCTATTAATTGATTGCAAGCCTTTGTCGCCTTGCGTTATTTCTCTCCACCGCCCTGGTTGTGTGCCATGTTTTGTGTTTTTGTCAATTAGTTCCATGCGAAAATAACTCTCTCCATGAGAGCATGCACCTTCCCTCATGAGATAATTATGAAGGACCACTGCAGCTTGGGTTATCCTGACAACCATTTCAACTCTAGCATGTATTGCACGTCGAAAAATCCTGAAGCGTGCAGCTAGGATCCCAAAGGCATTTTCTATTGTCCGTCTTGCTCGTGACAACCTGTAATTGAACACCCTTTCTGCAATACCTAGAACTTCTCTTGGGTAGGGTTTCATTATGTGATGTTGCAGTTGAAAAGCCTCATCTGCTACCATAACATAAGGGCATTCTTCCTGGAAACCAGGCAATGACTTTTCACATGGAAAATTCAAACTGTTGTTTTTCACAGCTTCTCCAATTTTGCTGTAAGAAAATATACCACCATCGCTATTTCTTCCAGCGTCACCTATGTCGACCAGAGTGAATTCGTAGTTGGCGTTGCAAATGGCCATCAACACAATTGAATGATTTTTTTTGTAGTTAAAAAACATTGAACCGGAATTTGCAGGGGTCTGCATGACAACATGCTTTCCGTCCAACGCTCCAAGGCAGTGGGGGAAGTTCCATTTTATTTCAAATTCTTCAGCCAATTTAATCCATTCGGACTCAGTTGTAGGTGGCTTTATAAATTTTGCAAGAACAATCCACAGTGCTCTGCAAGTTTTGAAAATGATTCTTCCCACTGTTGTTGGACTCATTCGATAGTTCATAGCTATGGTTGTTTGACAGTCTCCGGTTGCTAAATATCTCATCGTCACGCAAAGCATCTCAGTTGGTCCAATGCAATCTCTAGACACGCAGTTTTTTTTTATTTTGGGGGCGACCATAAGTAATAATTCCTCAAATTTGGAAGCGCTCATTCGAAAATACCTGAAAAATAATTCATCATCGAACAAACGTAAATCCTGCACCAAAAGATAAAATTCTCCTTTAGTTTTTCTTTCTTGATAAAGCTTTCGAATCCAAAATGATTTTTATATTTATCTTTCTTCATTCGTCTACTTAAAAGTAAAAGCAAGCGAGTTTTTTTGCTGAGAGGACCCATAACAATAATATTTGTATTGTTTTTGAACTTAGGCGGGAAAATAGTATTACGCGTTGTGCCGAATAATGGAAAACATTCAACGTATCTGTACTTGCTACGATACGTTACGTTTTGCTACGATACGTTACGATACGTGGCTAGTGGAAAACAGGCTTTAGGGGCCCACACTTCGTTGGCGACTGCAATCTCCCTGCGTACCCCGAGCAAAGCCTATCGCAGGTGTATGGTGTCTGATGGCGGAAGCTTGCTATGGCATCTCCCAAATAGGATAGCGTGGAGGGGCCGAAATCTCCTACCGAAACTTTAACATGCGGCGTTCTAGTGCCTTACGCTTAAGAAGGTATCGGGAAGCATGGACCGAAAACGGGGTTTTTTGCTTTTGAATTTTATCTTTTTGTTTATCTCATAAAAGGAACTAGAACATCCAAGGATACTGCAAAGGTTCAAAAAACATCTGCCTTTTTGACTTATAATTTAAATCAACTCTTAATATGTCCATACGCTTTTTACATGTTACTTTTAAAATGTAACTTTCTCATGATGAACGACAGCCTCCTTACACAATATAATTCTCTCGTCATGAAAGAAAGCATCCATAGGCTTCATGGCGAAAAAAGATTATCCACTTTTTTATAATACTTTTTACGGGCAAGCCATTTGTGTCGTTTAAATTATACCCTTATGTCATAAATTCATTTTGGATAATAACTTTCTTTTTACCTTATTTTCACGGTTCAATCTAGAAAGTAACTTCACATTTCAAGTGATTTTACGATTAAACAGCACACTTTTCGGATTTATATGACTTCTTTTGATCTCAAAGAGACCATCCGATTTATTATGTACATGCATGTAGTATGCATTTCATTGCAAGAAACCACCCTACCAGCAAATCCGATTTAACAGCATCGTAACCCGAGAAAAGCCTATCGCAGGGGTCTGATGGGCAGAAGCTTGCTATTGACATCCCAAAGTAGGATGGCGCGGAGGAGTCGAAATCTCCTACCGAAACATTAACATGCCACCTTCAATTAATAGGGTATCGAAATGGACCAAAAACGGGATTTTTTGTTTTCACAATTTTCTCTTCTCTTAAAGAGTAAACAAAATTAAAAATTCTCGCAAGCTTCCGACGGCGAACTCGTTGCTAATCCGTCTTATCTAGGAATCAAGAGTAGGTTTGGGTTAGTATTCACCATAGATTTGTAACCGTAGCCACGCATCTAGCATCTAGCATCTAGCATCAGGAATTGATTCCTCGAATTCGGGAAGGACGGCGAACTCGTTGCTAATCCGTCTTATCTAGGAATTAAGAGTAGGTTTGGGTTAGTATTCACCATAGATTTGTAACCGTAGCCAACAAAATATAAAATTCTAAATCAAATTATTTAACATTGAATTGGAAAACCCTTTATATACGTTCTAGTAAATTTGTAATGCTTACAACATCGATTAATTAACCAATTGTTTATTAATTCACATGAATTTGCTACATCAAAAGCGAAATAAAGCCTCGTGCTTAAGAATCTGCTGTAAAATAAACAATAAATATCCATCGAAAAACTTGTAATTATCAATATCGTAAAATGTCAATAATTTAGACCACATATCGATAAGAGGGCACCGAAGAAAAACATTTATTACTAGATAGTAATTCTTTAGGAGAAAACCGCTTCACTTGCTCTAAATAATAACAATTCACCTCCAATTGGCTATGACATATGACTTCTTTATGGTTTTATTCCTTGTGTACAATGAAATAATCCTCTCCGTTTTCAATGTTGGCAAAATACTCGCATTTTCTGCATCGAGAAATTGAACATTTTACGTTTTCAGTCACGACGCTGCCCTTGAAGTCCTATAATGGCATTTGAAACGTACCAAATGTTCAAACTCTATAGAAAAGTTCAAAGTCATAATTAACCTTGTGACTAAGCTTCAATATCTTACATGTTTGTGGATGTAGATCGTCCAGGTCAGTAGAGTCCTGAGAAGGACTGTTGGTATTGATGTTGACTGACGTTTCGACAACTTTAGCGGTAGTTATCTTCAAAGTGAAGTGAGGAGTAACGTCAGGTTTGCCATATTTGTTATCTGCTTACAGACGTATACTCATCACTTGACTTTGAAGATGACTACCTCTAAAGTTGTCAAAACGTCAGTCAACATCAACACTAACAGCCTTCTCAGGACTCTACCAACCTGTACAAACATGATAACGATATTCCCGGGCTTAAACAATTTACTTGAATATTTTGATAAATTATCGACTTGTTACTAACCTTAGGCAAAATAAAGTTTTCAATTGCTTTAAACGACGAACCGTTTTCTGTTGTACCAGGGTGTTGTAAATTGTCATGTTATGTTATGTAGAGTGTGACTGTGTCATATTTTTGATACTAAGATATAACGGATATTATGTTTATGTAAAATGTTAAGTCATATATTACTAGACAAATAGGAAAATACGTATATAGTTATTAAACTGTGGTTTCAGTGGAAATCCTGTACGTAAATTTAAAATACTTAGGAACACTTTTTCTACCCAATGTGGCATTGCGGTAGGATGTAGGTAATGACGGTACTCTATAAACGGAATGGCGTGTTGCAAGTCATGCAAACGCCCAAAAATCATATCCTAATAATTATAATATAAATAAGAGCTTGCAAGCGTTGGTTCGGCATTCGGAAAAACAGACGTTGTTATACGTACAAAAGTGATAAGTTGGAAGTCGTATCGCAGGAGGCGATAGCGTTTGAATAAGTTTCAAGTTTAAAGATTGACGGTTGGCCGTAATCTCAACGTTTCAATAACATATTTGTGTCGCAAAGAACCAACGTTTGGAACTCCGTATCATAAATCGTGCACAAACCACTGTAAATATCCTATCAAGTGTTAAATACAATTGTCAAAATACAGTCCCATCGTTAGAGTGAAGTTTCGAGAGCAGTGAACCAGCACTTCGCGCAGATTGTGCGAAACGTGGTCCTTCGAGCCGGATAGAGTAGCAGAATTCAAGAAGAACACAGAAATAGAATACAGGGTTGTTCACGATGTCAGAGCTGACAAGAAAGCGACAGTCGAGGAGTGGGCACAAATCGTACGCCACAAAAGTTGTAAACAAGGTTCGAGGTATGGTAAACGACAATGCGCCATTAAGGAAAGTCGAACTGGAACAAATGCGGCTTGTACTCGTACAGAAATTGCATACAATTTCGAAGTTAGACGATGAGATTCAGAGCTTGTTGGAAAAGGATGACGATATTGCAGCAGATATCGACAGCTCATCGGAATACGGCTGCGAAGTTCTGGGTGCGTTGGCCGAAATTAACGAAGCGCTGAGCACGATAGAGACGAACAAACGAAACGAGGAACTCGCCAACACATCGACAAGTACAGTATCCAGTGGGGCACGCTGTAGAGTGAAGCTGCCTAAACTAGAGGTGAAAAAGTTCTCGGGCAAGATACAAGATTGGCGTGAATTCTGGGACTCTTTCGAAAGTTCCATTCACAACAATGACGGACTGTCTGAGGTCGACAAATTCACCTATCTGAGGGGACTGGTGGAGGAGCCGGCCAAGTCAGCAATTTCGGGATTTGCTCTGACTTCGATTAACTATGCAGAAGCACTGAAGGTGTTAGAACGGAGATACGGGAGCAAAGTGATGGTGCAAAGGGCACACGTAAATGATTTGATGAACTTAAAACCCGTGTACAACGAGAGTGACACGACGAGGCTGCGCAAGTTCTTCGACGCGGTCGAAACAAATTACCGAGGACTCGAGGCGCTCGGTGTGAAGGAGGAAACGTACTGCGAGATAGTCGTGCCCAATCTTCTAACAAAGATACCGAACTCATTAAAACTGACAATTACCAGGGGAAGAGACTACTTAGAGTGGGGCATGAAAGATTTTGTCGACGCATTACAAGCCGAAGTGGAGCTGCGGGAATGCCACAAATTAGCGGTCGGAGAGAAAGAAGAAGATCAACGAAGAAGACGACGGGAACCGGGAACAGCTAGCGGGTTGTTTGCCAGCCGCAACAACCGATTGTTTTGTGCTTTCTGCTGTGGAGAGCACAAGCATGAAGAATGTACCAAAGTAACGGGGCGGCAAGAACGGATGCAACTTCTTCGTAAGTTCAAACGATGTTTCATTTGTTTAAATAAGGGACATTTAGCTAAAGATTGTCGTGCACGTATTAAACGTAGCATCATGTTCCATATGTGATAAGAGTAATAATAACCAGAAGGATGAAAGAAATAGTCGGGAAGAAAGTGGACAGGTTAGTGTAGCTAATGTCCACGTTAGTACTAGAAGTAGAGTGGCTCTTCAAACTGCGCAGGGAGTACTTATAGGAAAGGGTAATACAAGAGTGCGAGTGCTTTTCGACTCGGGAAGTCAGAAATCCTTTGTGACGTGTGACGCGAAGAGGTGTGCCAAGCTTAACGTTGCTAGGCGAGAATGGTTGGAAGTTAATACATTCGGTGGTGGAAGTAGCAAGGGTAGAATGACAGAGGTTGTTCAGTGCGAGGTATCGGCAGTTCGAGGAGGTCGTAAAATACGCGTAGAGGCTTTAGTAGTTCCTCATATTTGCGCGATCAAAAATGAGCATCTTGAGGTAGATAAGAACAAGTATTCGCATTTGAAGGATTTGTGGTTGTCAGACGTTAATTTGAAGCAGGACACGTTAGATGTTGATGTTTTGATAGGTGCGGATAACCTTTGGGCATTTCAACAAGGTGAGATAATTAGGGGCAAGGATGACGAACCCGTTGCCATCAATACTTGTTTAGGTTGGGTAATAAGCGGTCCACTGAAAGGGAGCTCGAACTTGAAAACCGCACGCGTTAATTTAGTTTCACAGATTGCAACACAAAACGCAGACAGCATTAATGGGGATGTGAGTAAATTGTGGGATTTAGAAACGCTTGGAGTAAGAGAGACTAATGACGTGCATGAAGCATTGCTTGACAAAATAGAGTTCAATGGGTCAAAATATGTAGTAAAATTGCCATGGAAACAGGGTCATGAGCACTTACCGTCAAATTATTCAAATAGTTTAGCACGCATGAAAGGGCAGATAAAGAGGTTGTCGAATGAGCCATCATTGTTGAAAGAATATGATAACATTATAAAGGAACAGCTAGAAACGGGTGTTATAGAAAGGGTAGATGAGTCTGAACCTGGGGTAAATGTTCATTACCTTCCCCATCAAGCCGTAATACGTAAAGAGGCGAAAACAACCAAATTGAGAATTGTTTATGACGCATCGTCAAAAGAGGGTAAGAGAGGGACTTCTTTAAATGACTGTCTTCATGTTGGACCACCATTAACGCCGCTGTTGTTTGACATATTAATTAGATTTAGGGAGAACAGAGTGGCCTTGGTAGGAGACATAGAAAAAGCCTTTTTGAACGTAGAAGTAGACGAAGCAGACAGGAACTATTTGAGATTTTTGTGGGTGAGAGATGCGACTAATGGTAATTTAGAGGTTGTAGTGTATAGGTTTTGTAGAGTAGTGTTTGGACTAAATGCATCGCCCTTCTTGCTTAACGCTACGCTTAGACATCACATTGCGCAATTTGCAGAAACAGATCAAGTGCTTGCTCAGAAATTGAATGAGGGGTTTTACGTGGATGATCTAGTTTCGGGGGGCAAGAGCGCACAGGAAACAATCGAGTTGTATGAGAAAGCGAAATTTAGGATGTCCCAAGGCGGGTTTAAGTTAAGAAAATGGCTTACGAATGATGGAAACGTGCGAGCGCTTATAGAGCAACGTGAATGCGGAAACAAAGTGACGACGACTACAGATTCAGACGACGAGACATTCACACAGTGGAGTTTGGGGGCTCTAAATAACAAGGACTGCGCAAAGGTTTTAGGTATAGGCTGGGATTGTGACAATGATCTGTTTACGTTTGATTTACGAAAGTTTGTAGAAGACTTAGGTGATAAGACGAAACTAACAAAGAGAAGCCTGCTAAGCGCATTAGCAAAGATATTTGATCCGTTGGGTTTAATTAGTGCCGTTATTATTTTGATGAAGATTTTGTTTCAACAATTGTGTGTTGATAAGGTTGATTGGGATGACAAAATAGAGGGTAAGCACGCAAAGATATACTTAGAGTGGATTGAGGATTTAGTTAGTGTTCAAATAATTAAAATTAATAGATGCGTTTACAGTAAGGTAATCGAAAGGGTCGAGTCGTGCGAACTCCATGGATTTGGCGACGCAAGTGAGAAGGCTTATTGCGCAGTAGTGTATTTTGTTTGTCGCACAAGCTCTTCCGTTCATGTAAAATTATTGGCAGCGAAAACTAGAGTTGCACCCTTAAGAAACTGACGATTCCACGTTTAGAGCTTATGTCTGCGCTTATGTTAGCTAAATTGGTAGAGTCAGTAGGGAAAGCTTTAGAAGGGCAGGTAGGAAAATTGAAGTCAAGATATTGGTTAGATAGCATCACTGCTTTGTATTGGATTCAGAATAGAGGTGAATGGAAGCAGTTTGTGAGACATAGAGTGAATGAGATACTATCATTGACGAGTAAGGAAAGCTGGGGGCATTGTCCAGGGGTAGAAAATCCTGCAGACTTAGGTAGTCGCGGGGTGTTTGCGTCAAAGTTAGAAGAGGATTCAATTTGATGGAATGGACCAAATTGGTTGAGCAGTCTAGAGCAGGAATGGCCTCAGTCTGTAGTGAGTAAGACCGAGGAGAGTGTTCAAGAAGAAAGAAAGGCGGCTGTGTTAGTAGTAGACGCTAGTGAGAAATTTGGTATAGACCAGATTATCTGTATAGATAGGTACAGTAGGGTGGAAAGATTATTTCGTGTAACGGCATGGGTTGCACGGTTTGTCAGGAATTTGATTGCTAGGACCAAAGGGAAGCATGAGGATTTGACTTTCACGGAGTTAGGGAGTCAGGAGTTACAGAAAGCAGAAAGACTTTGGATAAAGGCTTCACAGGACAGGTTAAAGAAGGAAGATAAGTTTAAGCAGTTAGAGGTACAGCTCAACGTAGTAGAAAAGGATGGGTTGTTAAAATGTCAGGGTAGGCTAGCAGAGTCAGATTTGGAAGAGGAAACAAAATTTCCTACTTTACTACCAAAAGAAGGTCGATTGACAGAATTAATAGTTGAGCACAGCCACAGGAAGGTACATCATAGTGGGGTAAGGGCTACTTTAGCTGAGATAAGGTCTAGATTTTGGATTCCCCAAGGAAGACAAAGGGTAAAATCGATTCTCAACAAATGTATCGTGTGCAAGAAATTAGAGGGTAAATCATACAATAGACCTAGCGAAGCAAACCTTCCAGCATTTAGAGTAGAGCAATCAGAACCATTTTCGAAAACAGGGGTAGATTTTGCAGGACCATTATATGTGAAGAATGCACCGGGGGGCACAGATAAGGTTTATATCGCATTATTTTCATGTTGTGTAACTAGGGCCTTACATTTAGACTTAGTTAAAGATTTGTCTGCGGATGAATTTGTGAGATGCCTAAGACGATTTGCAGCTAGAAGGGGGACCCCATCATTAATGGTGTCAGACAATGCAAAAACGTTCAAAGCAACAGTCAAGACTTTAGAAAACCTCTATAAAAATGAAAGAATGCAAGGGTATTTGGGAAACAATAGGATAGAGTGGAAATTCAATCTAGAAAGAGCTCCCTGGTGGGGTGGATTTTTTGAAAGGATGGTTAGGTCAGTGAAGAGGTGCTTGAAGAAGGTACTAGGGAATGCGAGGTTGACATTTGACGAATTATTGACAATACTGGTAGAAGTCGAAGCAACATTAAATTCTAGGCCATTGACTTACACGTACGACGAGGTGGGTAGTGAACCACTAACTCCGTCGCATTTGGTGACGGGAAGAAGGTTGTTGTCCATGCCAGACGAAGTGTCTGGTGAAGAGGAGTCTGATGAGGGTTACTGTAAAAAACGGTATCAGTATTTGAGTAAGAAAAAAATGCATTTCTGGAATAGGTGGCGAAAGGAGTATTTAGTTGATTTAAGAGAGTTTCATAGGAAGGACAAAGACAATACTAATAGGGTAGTGCAAAGGGGAGATGTCGTGACTGTTTATGAGGATAATGTGAAAAGGGGAAATTGGAAAACAGGTGTAATAGAGGAGTTGTTTCTAGGGAAAGATGGTGTGGTTAGAGGCGCTAAGGTTCGGTTAGTTAGGAACGGTAAAGTCGTTCACCTTAATCGTCCCGTCCAAAAACTCTTTCCTACCGAGTTGAAGCACGACGAAGGCGAGTGTGAGCGAGAAGAGAGAGAGAAAGGACTGAAAGGAAGGAAGGTAGAAAATACGGGCAGACCCAAAAGAGCTGCTGCTCTTGATTCTGTCTGGAAGACACAGAATATGCTTGATTAGTGGGACTAATCAAGGTGGGGAGTGTGTTGTAAATTGTCATGTTATGTTATGTAGAGTGTGACTGTGTCATATTTTTGATACTAAGATATAACGGATATTATGTTTATGTAAAATGTTAAGTCATATATTACTAGACAAATAGGAAAATACGTATATAGTTATTAAACTGTGGTTTCAGTGGAAATCCTGTACGTAAATTTAAAATACTTAGGAACACTTTTTCTACCCAATGTGGCATTGCGGTAGGATGTAGGTAATGACGGTACTCTATAAACGGAATGGCGTGTTGCAAGTCATGCAAACGCCCAAAAATCATATCCTAATAATTATAATATAAATAAGAGCTTGCAAGCGTTGGTTCGGCATTCGGAAAAACAGACGTTGTTATACGTACAAAAGTGATAAGTTGGAAGTCGTATCGCAGGAGGCGATAGCGTTTGAATAAGTTTCAAGTTTAAAGATTGACGGTTGGCCGTAATCTCAACGTTTCAATAACATATTTGTGTCGCAAAGAACCAACGTTTGGAACTCCGTATCATAAATCGTGCACAAACCACTGTAAATATCCTATCAAGTGTTAAATACAATTGTCAAAATACAGTCCCATCGTTAGAGTGAAGTTTCGAGAGCAGTGAACCAGCACTTCGCGCAGATTGTGCGAAACAGGGTCTTGGAAAGAGAAATGAACTGATATAATTTCGGTCTGAAACGAGATAAAACAATTTAGATCAAATAACTTGTAAACGGTATTTAGAAACTGCATGGTTTAACCTTAGTTGTTCTAACAAATAGTGTGAACGAATACAAAAGAAATTAATAGTTCAAGATAAATTTTAAAAATTATCAAAACGGTCTGCAGAAATTGGGAAATCCTCGTGGGTTCTTATCATCACGCATTTAAACACTAGATGGTACGAAAGTCTTTTTCGTCAATATTCAATCGCTCGTACGGTTTACAACATCATAAATGGTCTAAAAAAGGCACTTTTAGCAAGTTCCAAGCAGCAAAAAGTAAAAACTAACTATGTCTTGGTTTACTTTTCGTAATGAGTAATCCGCAACTAATTAATTTTGAATATCACAAGTATAGTTGGTTACGTTCGACGTTGGTAAATATGTGCCTCGTTGGTTTACCGCCTGCATCGAGATTCCAACGTCATATTGGTTTTTATCTGCTTTTTCCAAGCGCCAAACCTCATAACCATCAAATCGAAAGTAAATTTTAAAGACTTGGAGATTCGCTATTCTTTCTTTCGCATTTGTAAGGATCAATCCTTAACTCTGGAGGGACATAACATGCATTATATGAAACGACGAACTTCACCAACACTCTAAAACAACAATGGAATAGTAACCAAGACTTTATTTTTTCAGATTTAGTCATTGTGCTTAATTATATCACTGGTACAATTGTTTTTTTGCGACAGAAACGGTTGTTGGGAACTGGGGCCAAGAAAACCACAGCAAAGAAAGTGATATTTGGGGCAAGTATAATGTGAACCGTTATTTTTTTGTGAATATTCGAGTTTAGCCTCAATACAATGACGTTAGTCAACACAGTTAAATCTATCATATGACAAAGAATGTAGTTTGCATGAGTTGTTCTTGTGTAGAACAAAACTGATAAACGAAACTAAAAACCTTGTTGTTGGTATACTCTATAGGCCTTCATAGAAACGCACAACGCTACACTACTTAAAGAATGGCGGTCAGCTAAAAATGTCCAATTCGATTCTACGTAGATCTGACAATTGCTTAAACGTTGCTCATTATGGTAATCAGATTATTCTACCAAACATATCTCTGGTATTGAAGAAATAATTTGTAAACGTTCACTGGTATTGAAGAAATACTTTGTAAACGTTCTCTGGTATTGGAGAAATACGTTGTAAATGTTCTCTGGTATTGAAGAAATACGTTGTAAACGTTCTCTAGTATTGAAGAAATACGTTGTAAACATTCTCTGGTATTGGAGAAATACGTTGTAAACGTTCTCTGGTATTGAAGAAATACGTTGTAAACGTTCTCTGGTATTGAAGAAATACGTTGTAAACGTTCTCTGGTATTGAAGAAATACGTTGTAAACGTTCTCTGGTATTGAAGAAATACGTTGTAAACGTTCTCTGGTATTGAAGAAATACGTTGTAAACGTTCTCTGGTATTGAAGAAATACGTTGTAAACGTTCTCTGGTATTGAAGAAATACGTTGTAAACGTTCTCTGGTATTGAAGAAATACGTTGTAAACGCGACAGGCCAATTTGAAACACTGTTCTACACTTTATCTTCACAAATATTGTGTTTGCTGTAACGTTTCACACGCTAAGTAGCTCTAATTGAACACAAAATACACTACAGCTACCCTCAATAAGAAAATTCAGTGTTTTCCCTTTGCTTACCTTTTATTGAGCGATGAATGTCGTCTTGCATAGCCAACCTATGATTCACGTAAACTTTGCCTCAAATCAAAGTTGCCGCGCGATGAAAGTATTCCAACGACCAAATCATAATGAGAATAATTCTCTGCTGTCAAGAAGAACATTAGTTTAAAACATTAAAGAAAACAAGTGGAAATACAAATACAAAATTGGACTATGGAGGATAAAGTTTTTAGATAAAGTTTTTAGATAGATGGTATTTGCTATCTTTAGAACTATTTTCAGATTTGTCACAACGACAAAGTCTCTATTTTATTAAATAATACATAACGCAACAACCCTGCCGGCTGGCCTCGCCGTTCATATAACTGAATACAATCTCTTAGTTCACTAAAAAATCCATGAGGACGCAATGTTCACAGAAGTAAAAGCAATGGATAGCAAAGGTATTTTCCTGAAACATTATCGACAAGCGTACGTGTGCTTCGGGTATTTCGTCAAACAAGAAACACAAGTAGTAAATGATTTTTCATCTATCTGACCATGAGCATTAAGAAAGAAATGTTTAAGCAAAGTTTACCTCGTCGATAAGAACGCAAACTAAAGCTTGTTACCAGTACCAGGTGGCCCTGTGAAAGTTTTAAAGAAAAGCTCAACTCATTCTTCTGGATATTTGCAGTAGATCACGTGAGACAAACATGATATAGTATGAGTGGTAAATGCTGGTATTTGATTGGCTTCGTTGTTTGTTTTCGAGTGACGTCACAGCGGTACACAAACATGGTGGCCTTGACTTCATTTCATAGTTGGCTCGTTAAAACACCATCACGTCTCTCGCGTTTTATTCTATCTGATTGTAGTTAACTTATTCTCATCAATACTTTGATATGTGATTTTTCAATCTTGAATGTTATGAGTGATAAGAGATTTACTCCGTTAAGATGAGAGTTGTTACAAAGTCAACACACGCAAAAACAGAATCTAATTTGATTCGTAAAAAGATACACGTGACGGACGATGTGAGTGAGAGCACTGAAGTGAGTTGACCACCTGCAGGTAAAATTTACCAACCTGTAGGCAAAAGCCAGTTCTTCATATCCATGCCCCCCATCATGAAGTTGATAGACATGATACTTTAGCATAACTTTTTTCAAATCAATTATTTGATAAAAAAAATTATGAAGGTTTCACAGAAATATGTACTTCATGTAAATCTTCATTATCAATCTAAGTCACTTTTCGCAAATTTTGTTTCATGTCATGTTTGTAGTGTTTATCATGGTAGCGTTCATATTGAATGTAAATTTTGTGAACGTCTTTTTAGAGTTTATTTTCATCTCTACAAAGTTTTTATCTTCACGTTTTAGCCGCCAAAAAGTCCTCTTCAGAAAACAATGGATTCCTTGGGCAAACAGTTATCGTTTTATTCTTTATGTATTATTGGTAAGCGTACCACAGAGAACTTATTATATTTGAAATTATTGTATGATTTTCTTGCTTGATATTTGGTACAGGATTCTCGTTCACCTCTGACACAAAAAAATATATGAAAAATATAGTCTTTATCGACATTTTCCCTCGAAATATTTTTTCTAAGTTAACGGCACCCCTTGTCCAATTTTTGCCCTTTTAATAACCCCCCGTCTATTTCTCTATCAATAAAAGTACACCGAAATTTCTATTTATGATAGTAAAATATGTTTCCCACAATTCAAGTTCACCATCCAAAGCAATAGGATTTGGAAGATCATCAGTAAACATGGTAGCAAATAAAGTGAACTTATCCTGCCAGCGTGCGGATCCTGACTTGGAATGAGAGAGAAAAGAAATTAATTTGGATGGAATTAGATATAAACCATAGTAAACATTAGTAGAAGATTCTTCAAATCTTCTGGCTAACTCCAAATTTAAATGATCGACTACAGGAATCGTGATAGTGATCTCTTATGGTAAACTGAAGTGCAGTCAGCAGGGATGTTGCTGCGACTTATCTGACTATGAAAAGTGCGAGGTTTACCTTCTTCAACATTGACCTTCGCTGCTAAGTCTAAAGCAATTTTATACCATCTAGTATGATAGTTATCGATGTCATTACGTATTGCACGACCTAAGTTTTTTAAAGAATTATCAAATGCAAACCATCTGCAATATCGTTACTAGAAGATTGGAGTAATTGGGTAACAGGAAGAGTAAGGTCGAAGAAGCATCTTGTTATCACGAGGCAAACAATGAACTCAAAACTAGCTAGAAAGTGAAAGAGAGAGCCTGCTTTGCTAGATGTCTCTACATTGCTGTTGCGTTCAAGATTGTAGTACATCTCCCTAAGTGTGAAAACCTACATAGTTTTCAACCTTTTTTTAAAGAGTGTGGGCAATATTTGGTGATATTGGATTCTAGTAGAAGCAGCCTTATATCAGAAGAATTGAAAAAATTTACGACTTCTTTTACTCTTTCCAAGAGATTTCTAACAGACTGAACAGAGCAAGATGAAGAAATGCTTAAATTAATGGCTATAGCAATGAGTGTAGATGGCTTTTTTGTTTAAGCGTTTAATATGTGCAACAAGACCGTTTATGTGGCCAGAAACAGCACCAGCACCATCGTAACCTTGTCCACGACAATCG